TGAAGGAGTGGAACCCTCTCCTTCTATAAATTTGCGATAACTTTCCTCGACCCCCCACCCTTGGCAAGTAAGCCCTAACATTCTCGAGACCAACCCCGTCATCTCGGGATAAATCTTCCATATGCCCACCCATCCAACGCCACAAATAGCAGCATATATGAAAAACGTCCATCCGGCTCCCATCCACCGCATCATAGGCAGGAACGTCAAGCCAATGATGAAATTAGAACCCCAGTTTGTACCCGTTGCCAAAGCAGAGCCAAGACTTCGCACACTAAGTGGGAAAAGCTCCGACTGCTGCCATGGCACATTGCCCAGTCCCGAAGCATAGGAGGCAGTGTACGTCGTGAGACAGAGTAGTATGATAGCCGCTTGAGAATTAGCTGGAGCCGGCGGCTCAGAGGCGCTCCCATCAGCAAGAGACGTCGATGGGAAAGCAATGGCGCAGATAACGAGTGACACTACCATGACTGGAATAGAATATAATAGTATACGACGACGACCAATACGGTCGATGAGTAAGTATGCGAGAAAAGTGAAGATGAAGTTCGTCCCCGCGACCGAAAGAGCAGTGAGGGTTGGCGAGGAGAAGGAGAGAGACTTGAATATCGTTGCTGCGAAGTACATGAGTGAGTTGAAGCCGCAGAGTTGCTGGAGGCCTTGCAGTGTGCATGCTATTATGAGTGCACGACGGTGGCAGCCGATTGTGAAGAGGTCGGTATATGTCCGTTGGACTTTCTGCAGCCATCGCCGTCGTGTAGGTAGAGATGTGGCGCTAGTAGAGATGCCTGACCGAGCGTCTATCTCAGCTGAGGCATGCAGCACTTCCTGCTCGATGTCTCGAAGGATATGTTCAACAATCTGGTTACTTTCTTTGGTGTCTCCGTAAACTCTTTGCATGATTCGGCGAGCTTCATTAGCCCGGTTGGCGCGGACAAGCCACCTTGGAGTTTCGGGCAGGAAAGCGAGAATTAAGAGTTGCATGACGGCAGGAGAACAGCCAAGACCAACCATCCATCTCCAGCCGCTGGGTTGGCTGGATAAAAGCCACCCTACGATGTACGCTATCACTTGTCCTCCTGTGACGAGGAGACTAAGTACAGTCACCATCCTGCCGCGGAGATGTGAGGGAGAGAGTTCGGAGATATACCTGGGAAGGGCAAAGTAAGTATCTGGTTTTTTGTTCAATAATACGGGTATATATAACAGAGCTTACAGCGGTGTTATCAAGCTTGACATGCCTATGGCCAGCCCTACCAAACTCCGGCCAGATATCATCCCCCAAACGGTAGAAGTGGCCCCCTGCCATAGAGCCCCGATAATAAATAGAATACCAGAGATAACTATTGCAGGCTTGCGGCCGGCCTTATCGCCCAGAACGCCTCCCAGGGGACTGGCTATAAGCGCAAATAGACTGGTCGAGGAGGTGATCAAACTCCGGTCAAGGATGGTTAACTCGCGTTGAGAGAGATCTGTTCCGATCGACACTAAAGCTGACGATATAACTCCGGTACTATGAGGTTTAGGTATAAATAGTAAGATTATAATCCTTGTGGTATAATAAAGAGTATTTTGATACATGCTTGGACATACTCATATCCGAATAGAAAGCCGCTGATACCGGCGGAGAAGGTCAAGGCCCAGATAAACCAGGTTCCGGTGCCTGTGAGAGATAGGACATCGATGACGGATGTATCATCTTCGTCTCTAGTATTTGGTGAACTGGTATTATCATGCCGTGGACTTTCGAGCAATGGTGCCGCAGCATCCAGGGTATCTTCCTCGACTCTCGCCATCGGCTCTAGCTCAACTTCCGCCACCTTTGATGGCGTCTCTCAGTTTCAACTTCAGCAATACGTAGACGATATTATTATATACACAGCATGTAACTTGTAACTTGTAACTCCTTTACATGGCGCTGAGGATGATGCTCCTTTGTGTCTTTGATATCAACATCTCATCTTCTCAAGCTTCTCAGCCATCGACCACGCGACGTTGGCAGATGACAGTCACGTGGATATATACACGTGACCATCTCAGGGGAAAAGCATGTTTAAGGGGAGAGACCAGAGTACCTAGTATGACAGATGGTGGTACTGCGGCCATTTAATCGCACCTTGGAGCGTAGGAGAGTCCGCGGAGAGCTTCAAAAATTGACAGCCTTCACTCAGTACTCTTCTGAGGTGGACTCTACGGCTGAAATACAATTGCCACACCACAGGGACAACACAGGGACAACACAGGGACTAAACGACCTGATCTAACTTATGCCCCCCGGGCCCATAATAAAATGGAGGCGAGGCGGACAGGAGCCGATGACTAATCACAATGCTTACTGTGGCAACAAGGTTCGGTCCTTTCACGTGATCCTTATATAAGCTATATTAAGGTTTAAACCTAAACGAGGAAAAAATCAAAGTTTTTGTTTTTTTGCAGAAGAAGAAAAAAAGAAACAAAGCGACGAGGACGATCACCAACAGCGCTGTCGACGGTCAAGCCACGCAGAGGAAGACAAGAGAGACGTTCTTCTGACAGGTAAACTAGCTGCAGCAGAGCTGAGCGAGCATCCATGTGTCTCGGGGCCTATAATGCCGCATCCCTCGCTTTACGTCCCCTTGCAGAACTGGGTCTGTCGGCTTCTTCTTCCTTCATGCGAGATTTCAGGCTCGTCGCAGGCGCCTTTTTTTTCTTTTTTTAGCGCTATTCAGGCACCGACCAATCAGCGTCCAGCAAGCGCGGCTTCTCCCTTTTCATCCCTTCGTCCCTTTCTCGACTTCACGCCTTTTTTCTTCCCGCCTTTTCGACTTTCGTCCTCGACTTCGACCTCGACTGTATCCTCCGGCGTCGCTCACCGTCCTCACCGTCCAGCCTGACCTACTGACAGGTCGTTACACTCCTTTGATGGCCTGAGGCGCCGCGCTCGCTGCCGACTTCTGCTCTGTTTACTCTCCAGGGCTGTGCCGGGGGACTGTTCTTCACCTTCGTTTTTTGTCGGACAATCACCTATCTTTACACAGAATAAAGCAATATCATTACATTTATACACTCATTTGATACACTGCGGCTCTCTGTTTTGGCGTAACGGACTGCTGGATTTACGACTCGTCCTTTTTTACCGTGTGCTGCTGTCTTTTTGGTGCAACGCTTTTGTATCTTTCATGACCTGACCACCACGACCCCGATCACAACGACGGATCACTGCGATGCATAACCATAACCACCACCACCACCACCACAGCCCTTACCGTCGTCCCCGGGACAACCAAAGGGACAATGAAGTCCCCGTCCCTGTTCTCGTCGTTCGCTCGGCCCCTCTCCCAGACCACCGGATCCCCCTCCTCTCTAGAATCGAAGAGCCAGCGGTGGCAGAGCCGATGGCACGGCCGCTGGAGCGGAGAGATGTGCCCGACACCACACGGCTTGTCCCACGACGAGATGCGACATGTAGTCCTGATAATAATGCGGGGAAGGACTGTGGCCCAGGACTGACTGAGACGCCTACAGTGGCCATCGCTCTCGGTGTCGCGTATGTCTAGAACCTGTTAGGATATCATGTGTTAGTGCTAATAATGAGGATACAGAATACCCCTTGTGTGTGCTTTCATAGCCTTCTTCATTCTGCACAGACGCCATGTCAAGAAACTGCGGAAGGAAGACGAGCAGGACAAGATTAAAGCTCTTGACTATGGTCTTGAAGATGTCCCTGCGTCTACCAGCGGAGCCAAAGTCCGGCCGGGCGGCGGCCAAGGAGTCGAGAAGGGCCCCGGAGGCGGCCACCAGCCTGGCATGTCGATGGACTGGACCATGGACAACCCATATTTCCTGCCTCCGGGACTGCAAAAGTCTCGTGGCTCTCTGCACTCCCTCTCGCGAACCATGCCGGGCGAAGATAAGTACGGCGTAGCCTTTGACGGCAACGGCAGCATCAGGTCAAATACTCCCAGCCATCGCCACAATAATGCGGACGATAATTCTAGCTACACGGCTGGAAGCAGTCGAAATGTTGGCGGTAGTGATGCCAACCACCACAATGGCGGTCTAGGCGACGACATGTCTCAGAATCTGCTTCGGAACGCGCAACGCATGTCCACTTCTCCCCCTTTAGCTGCCGTTCCGGCTGAACCCCCTAGCCCGCCACAGCCAGCTCATTTTCCTTCTGACACTCGTTACGATGAATTGGGCCTTCCTTCATCTCTAAGCAATAATTATAGCAACGACAACAAGGACATCAACAATCACGACAGCAACAACTATAATATCAACGGCGACGACAGCCAGATGGGTGCCGCGGGGAGCAAAGACAAAGATCCTGCCCTGCGGAGTAGCCACAATTATCTGGGCCAGTTCATCCACAGCGGCAGTCGATCACCAACTCCAGACGACCATAAAAAGGAAGACAGTGTCCCTGGCCAGCAGGATGGCCATCCCTCCCTCCCCGGCCTCGCATTCTCGACCAACGATGGCCCAAAGTTGGATTTCAACTTGGGACCCTCTTCCCAACCCACTGCTACAACTGTTACTGATCGTCAACAGGCTGATGTTGACAGCGACTACGGTGACGAGAGCAAACCCACTCCGGGTCTCCCTCAGTTTAACATCATGCCTGCCGAGGACCAGAAGCACCTGCAGCAGCAGAAGCAACAGCAGCATCACGGTGACGAAGATACACATGGATATCCAGAAGAAGAGGATGACGGGACGGACAACATCCACGACGTTTATGACCAGTACTACGACTCCAACCACCTGATTGATACCCGCAGACTTACCATGGGAATCCGGCCGCTGCCGCCCGAAGACCCATCTGACAACCCCGAGCAGCGAGCAAACCGCATCCGATCGTTCTACAAGGAATACTTTGACGACAGCAAACCCTTCCAGCAGGACTACATCGAGGACTATGGCGAGGTGCCTCCGCTACCCAACCCAGCAGCACCCTTTGCCCAGCCTCTGCCTCGCCGAGCCATGACTCCTCCGCCCAGGATGCCCCCTGCGTTCCCACCACGTCGTCACCCAGGGGTCGGCCATCAGCCGCCTCCTGGCATGAACATGGGTTTTGCCCACAGCGCTACAAACTCCTTGTCCAGTGGCCATCCCATGGCGGGCCCACGGGCCTTCTCCTCTGCCTCAGGTCGCATCCCTCACCCCCGACAGAAGAAGCCTCTCCCACCGCCGTCACCCTTGCACGTCCTGCCTACTCCTCATAAGCTCAAGGATGACATGTTCCTGCCTGTGGATTTCGCACCTGGTCCTCGAGTTCGAGACCGCCAGGCCGGCCGACCGGAGACTCCCCTGGGCGGCTTGCAACACTACAACCTCATGGTTCCCTCACATAGTCCGCTTGTCTCATCCTTTGACGAGCTTCCTTCCGTGCCCAGCCCGTAAGTTGTTCCTTCTCTTTTTTACTAATCATTGTCAAAAATTTTTGTGATTATCTTGTTAGAGTTAGGGTTGGTTGGTTCTAACAGTTCTCGTCACAGGCATGCCCTCCGCAAGTCCGGTACCTTCACTGCCCTCGACTTTGCACCGCCGCCTCGCTTCAAGAACGAGTCCGGTAGCGGCAGCGACGCAGGCAGTATTCGTAGCAACCGCACCGGCATATCTGCCATGCAAGCACACAACATCCGCGCAGGTGCCTACCGCGTCAGTCGCCTGCCAGCCGAAACAGTTGGCACGAGAGACGACTTTAGCTCTAACCTTAAGCCCCAGTGGGAGATGCGTACCTAAAAAGCTTCGCCATGCCGTCTGCCCTTTGCCTCTTCTTTCTCTCCTCGTCCCGACGCCTAATTTGTTCATATTCTGCTAACATCGCCATATATATATATATTTATCCACATCTACTGTCTCTTTATAATCTCGGAGTCGTGTTCTGCTTCTTGCCTGCCGTTCCTGCATCTTTCTTCTTTCTCCCATTTGTTGTATCTAGTTATAGACGGTGCTTCTGCTGGTGTTCATCTTCATAGCCTGCTTTTGCTGCTTTCCCATTCACCTACGGAGTACTACCTACTTACATAGCCGATGCTACCTTAGCTACCTTAGCTACTTAACCAACCAAAGCTACTTTGATATCTTTACCTTTTCTGTGTCTTTGTTCCTATAAATAGCAACTGAGCCTCGTATTCGCGTACTCACCGTACGGTAAGTAATGGCGTTACGGGCGTCAAGCCACTGCCAGCCCCTTGTGCAAGGCTGTGTATGTAACTGTATTACGCGAAATCACATTACTGCCCCTTTTTTTCCTGCCTCGAAGTTGAACAAGAAGAAGATCGTGAGCTGATGCGACGGAGATCACAGCAATAACAGCAGCAAGCCCGCGCGTGCATAGAAGAAGACAGGTAGCAGACAGCCAGAAGAGATAGAAGAAAGATTCACAAGCATTAGACACAAACACAGAGAGCGAGAGTCAACGTCGTAATTAAAGGGCGCTCGGCTGGTTGCTGGTTCGCTGTTCCTGGCAAGCAAAAGTCAACTCAGCCCCAGCGCTTCTCGTCTTTTTCTCTCTCGTCTTCCTCTCGCTGCCTGTTCCTCTCTTCCTCGTTCTCTTCCACTGTCTCTGCATCGTCTCTCCTTTTATACAGGAACCAGAGCCATAGACTACTGTTTACCACCGTCTCGAACTATCGTCTTTCTGCTGCCTGCGTTGAAACAGGCGATACCTTGGCACGCCCAACTGGGAAAAGCGTCCGCTTTTTCTTCCTTCTGGCCTTTTTTTCTTCGCTTCTTCTTTCGACGTCGGACATCAAGCAAGAGGACGAACTTGCACCTTCACGCTCGTTGCGCCGACAGACAGACAGGACGGCCGCCGAAGAAGAGCCAGCACAGACAAGCTAGGCCGGGAGAAGGCGAGGGACGACAGATCGTGGACAGCTCAGACGAAGACGAGACGTGGACGAGACGACAGCCGACAGGGATAGACAGAGACACGGCCTGAAGTTGACCCAGGATGGCCGCCATGTCGACTGGTAGGTGCTGCCTTGATACATTGTGATACAGACGGTGAAGATGAAGATGATAAATAAGAAGAAGGGGAAGAGTGAGAATGAGAGGAGAGGAGAGTATGATTGCTGACGATTGCAGGCGGCGGGATGCCCACGTCGGATCCTCCCAAGCCAACGTCAAACCCATCACCACCGACGTCCGCTCCTCCCAGCCCGCCAACTTCCAACGAGCCAACGAAGCCCAGCGACCCGCCAACCAGCCCGCCGTCGCCCACTCCTCCTCCGCCATCAAGTGAACCCCCTAAGCCGCCGACCAGCGAGCCTCCAAAGCCGCCCACCTCGCAGCCACCACCACCTCCGGAACCGACAAATGACCCGACGACTCCTCCGCCGCCGCCGCCAGAGACCTCTAACCCGCCGTCTCCTACCAATCCCAATCCCCCTCAATCTCCCCCTCAGGAGTCGAGCACGACCATTGTCATCACCTCTACGGCGTCTGTGCCGATGAACCCGAACCCTACCCGCCCAGCAACTTCATCTTCATCATCTACCTCTACCTCAGCACCAACCTTGCCTGCAGGCTCCGGCTCCGGCGGCGGAAGCAGTGGTCTATCTGCTGGCGGAACCATTGCCATTGCAGTCGTTGTGCCTGTCGTCTCGGTAGCCTTGATTATCATTGCACTGTTGTTCTGGTACCGCAAGCGCAAGGCCCGTAAATTGGCGGAGGAAGAGCGCAAGCAGGAGATCGAAGAGTACCGCTTCAACCCCAACAATGACCCTACTCTACCGGCCGTGGGCATGTACGATACCGACGTGGCCTTGAAGGACACCTCCGCTGCCGCTGGTGCCGCTGGTGCTGCTGCTGGTGCTGCGAGCGGAGGATACCGTGGCTGGGGCACGACTAGCAACTCCCGCCATGCGCCCACCAACACGGCCTCGAGCGGCGGGGCCGACAGCAGCCCCATGTACGGCCGAGAGGTATCCCCCGTCGAAGAGACCTTCCATATGGCCGACGACGAGCAGCGTCAAGGTCTAGGCCGTGTCGAACCTGTAGCCGCCGGCATCCCCAAAGCCCTGCATATCGGTCAGCCTCCAGTCCAGCAGCAACAACCACAACAACAACCGCAGCAGCCATTACAACACCAACCACAGGTGCCCATCCAGCATCAAAACACGAGTAACATTCACCGTGGCCTGTCCAATGCCTCGTCAGCGTACTCCACGGGTGCCCAGTCCGATATGTCCGACGACATGATGCCTCCCGGAGCTCCCTCGGGCGCTCAGTACTATGAAGAGAGTGCCTACTACCCCGACGGCCACGGAGCCGGCTACTCCCACGGCCACAGCGGCAGCCATGGCCACGATCAACCCGGCCTGGGACCTCAGCCGGTCATCCGCGACGTCTCTGCCCGGCGCAACACGCGCATCGAGAGCCCCAGTGTCTTCCCCCATCCGCAGCAGGGCAACGCCGGCATAGCGCAGAACTTTTAATACCCCCGTCGTCTTGTCTTTTTGCTTGTTCAACTCCACGCCCGCTATTCTCCTTCTTCTTCTTCCTACCTTCTTTTCACCATCTTCCCTTGTATCTCTTTTTATTTTCTTTTGATTTCCCGTCCGTTTATTGCTGTTTATTCCCTGGCCTTTGCTTGTGTTTGGTGAAAAGCACGCTGTACAGATTGTGCTTCCTTTTTCCTCCGTTGGTCTCCGCCTTATCGATGATATGTAGTAATACCACTTCCTATGTCGTTCATCTTCGAGCTTCAGTGAATAATTATAGTAGTAATAGTAGAAGTAGTGGTGGTAGCGATAGTGGTAAAGTAGCGGTAGAAGCGAAGAATAGGGCTACTAATAGTGTTACTCAGTCGCTAGTGAGGTCATCGGCCGGCCAGCTGCCCAAACTGGCTGCTTTAATTGGCCCGCGCTTATTCTGCTCCTTTCGTCTGCCATATTTTTTTGCCCCGCGAGAAAGGGCGACGTTTCGACGTCGACGATCGTGGGAAATAGCGAAGTCGATGGTGCAGAAAGGACGAGCAGAGACACACGAGCAGCGAAGCGACGCCGACGAGAGACACAGCGGTAGACGAGACGAGCGACGCAGACGAGGCGGGCCATGAAGTTCGGCAAGCAGATCCAGCGGCGCCAGCTCGACCTGCCCGAGTACGCGGCCAGCTTCTTCAACTACAAGGCCCTCAAGAAGGTACGTACCCGGCTCCCACGCCACGACGCAGCAGCAGCAGTAGTGGTAGCTGTACAGGATGGCGAGATGAAGATGCTGGTACTGACTGGCCTCTGCAGCTCATCAAGCAACTCAGTGCGACGCCCACGATCCCTGCGCAAGGCGCTACGCAAGAACCGTCCAGCGATGTGCTCGACGCCCAGGCAGCCCTGCGCGCCAACAAGGAGGTCTTCTTCTTCCGGCTCGAGCGCGAGATAGAGAAGGTCAATGTCTTCTACCTGCAGAAGGAGGCCGAGTTCTCGCTGCGGCTCAAGACGCTGCTCGACAAGCAGAGAGTCATCCAGTCGCGCCGCACGGTGTCGAATTCAAAGGCCCCAGCGAACTTCGTCGCCTTGATAGAGGGGTTTCAGCAGTTTGACGGTGATTTGAACAAGTTGCAGGTGCGTATATATACATATTACCCTTAGGGTGTGAGGGTTCGAGTGCGGGATAGCTGATCTCTCTCATGTGGTAGCAATTCGTAGAGGTCAATGAGACAGCCGTGTCAAAGATACTGAAGAAGGTGAGATACAGCCCAAACTACTATTACCATAATACTACTACTGGGGCCTCATACTAACTAGATATAGTGGGATAAAACATCAAAGGTGTGTGTGTACGCGCGTTGGTGCATTTGCTGCTTGGTCACATATTTACTAAATGGTATAGTCACGGACAAAAGAGCTCTACCTACAACGAGCGGTTGAAGTGCAACCATGCTTCAACCGAGAAGTCCTTCGGGACCTCTCCGACCGCGCTACCACAGCCAGGCTGGAGCTTGAGGCATGGGCAGAAGGCGAAAACATCCAGTTTAACGCCCCCAGACAGGCAGACAGACCAGCCAGCATAGCAGAGGAAGACGACAGCGATCTGCATATCCTTAACTCTGCCGCTGCCACAGGGAACCTCCAGCCTCTGCGCGACTGGCTCAGCAAGATCCAGCTCTCTCCAGATGCTGCCGACCATCTCACCCGCATCTTTCTGACTGCAGTCAATGAGTACCCAGATGAAGTGCTCACTTTGCTGCTAGAGACTAACCTCGTCGACGTCCATGCAGAGGACGATATCAACGAACGCAACTGTCTGCATGAAGCCGTCATCTCAGGCCGCCAGTTCGTCTTTGACGCCGCTCTCGAGCGTGGCGTCGACATTTCGCAGGCTGACGTCTACGGCAGAATTCCCCTGCATTATGCATGTATGCACGGTCGGGTCGGCATGGTGCATTCTCTACTTGAAAAGGGCCTATCTACCATCGACTTCACTGATCATGATAACTTCACTCCTCTCATTCACAGCATCATCAAGGACCAGGTCTCCTGCGTTGAACAGCTGCTCTCACACAATGCCCGGATCAACCCGGCCTCGGAGTCGGATCACATACCACTTAACCTTGCCTGCCAGCATGCATCCCTCGCTCTTATAAAGATACTACTTGAGCGTGACGCAAAGTTCCTGCCAGATGCCGAGGGCCTATACCCACAGCATCTTGTAGCGCGCTCATGTCGTTCATCTGCAGTTCTCCTGCTCCTCAAAGACCACGGCGCAGACCTTGACCAGCGTGATAAGCTGTACCAGTGGACTCCTTTGTTCCACGCGGCCGCAGAGGGCTGCGTTGGATGTCTACGTACTCTACTCGATTGTGGTGTCGATGCGGATGCTCTAGACGAAAAGGGTCTGCCTGCCATGTACTACGCTGTCTGGGAGGGCCATCTTGAATGCATGAAATTGCTCTGGTCTCAGCGTGTATCCCGCCCCATTCCAGGACACACACCGCTTGATGTCCTCAACAATGGTCCCAGATACCGTGATGCCATGACTGCAACCCTCACTCCAATGAGTGACGAAAAGAAGGATATTCCTGCTCTTGAGGTCGACGGCATCCCAGACCTCTCCCTCCCACCTCCCATCATCCCGCTTCGCCACTACGGCCACAACTTCTTAGACAACAAGACCTTCGTGCAGATTCACTTCAATCCACCATCTGCCGACCCCATTGTCTTCTACCAGACTGGCCGCTACGCTGCTGCACGATTAACAATATCCTCCAAGATGACAGACCTGATCCCCCGTAATGTCATGCTGCCTCTACAAGAAGACTCGCGCTTCATATCATTCCACATTGATAAGCTAGAAAACTTTGCCATCGACTTTGAAATATTCCCTACTTTTGGTTCCAAAGTCATTGCCAAAACAGTTGCTTTACCCGACGTTTTTGAGAACAACGGTAGAAGTTCTGGCCATTGCTGTCTCCCCGTCTTTGACCCCCGGCTCAGAGCCATTGGCGAGATCCGCTTCAACTTCCAGGTCATCAAACCGTACTACGGAGACCCGTTAGAGATTACCCATTTTGCTACCTACTGGAAAGCTACCAGTGCGTTCGATGCAGAGCACAACGGCCAAGTCACTGGTTCCAGCTTGTCCGGAGACTATGTCCAGATATTCGTCCAGATGACCCGAGATCTTGTACCGGTGCTATATCCCGAATTCACGATTATGCATCATGGCGTCCGCTTACCCATCGCACATCTCTCCATCGAAGAATTTAAGGCTATTGGCCGTGAACATTCTCCATCTAACTCCATCACTGCTTCTTCCGAGTCAAACTCTACCAGCAGCAGCTCTACAAGCTCACTGCTCCCATCCCTCGCTGCAATGTCAATAACCGATATCCCCACCGCGCACCGTCTCCTCGCCACATCCTTTTTGACTCTAGAAGAGGTTCTCCTCCATCTACCCACTTCCATCCATGTGAACCTCTGCATCCTCTACCCTTCCCCAGCCGAGCAAAAGGAGCTCGATCTCCGCCTCACTTTCAACATCAACAATTTTGCCGACTCCATTCTCACACGGGTGTTTAATCATGCCCGGGCCTCCAGGCTGGCTAATCCAGACTTTATGAGATCTGTTGTCTTTACCAGTTATAATGTCGGGATATGCGTGGCTTTGAACTGGAAGCAACCAAATTGTAAGTCATATCTACGTGCGTACATACAGCGCAGCCTTTTGCTAACATTCGCTTTAGACCCCGTGTTACTCTGCAACGATCTTGGTCAACCCCGAGACTCAAATACCAACACTACTCAATCGCCCGCCTCACCTCCATCCTCTTCATCTCCAGCAATCCAATACAGCGGTCGTGCCTCACTCTCCATTAAAGAATCCGCCCGTATCGCCCAAAGCAATAATCTTATGGGCCTAATGTGCCGATCAAGCCTACTAGTAAGCCTATTGTTTCACCCATTATTCATCCACACAACGCCCTTTCACGCCTAGACACACCTAAAACTAACCTACCATGTCATTATCAGAACGTAATGCCATCTCTGGCCGAATCGATAAAAGAGCTCGGTCTCGTGCTAGTGGCAGATACGTCTGACGATAGTGCTGAAAGGCGCCGGCACCAAAACGCAAACTCGACTTCGCACACCGGGTTCGGGGGAACGAATGATACCCTCTTCCGCATGCCCGGCAACGTTAACGGGGTTATGCGTGAGACTGGCGTGCTACGATTTAACGACTCGATTGATATGTGATGCATTTCTACCCCTACCCACCACTTTACATAAATGCTTTCTTTCTTACATACAACCCAACTTCTTTACTTCCTATTCGTTTATAGATATCTGTCCGTTGGGGGTTGGATACCTGATACTACTCTTTCTTTCCTTTTTTTTTTTTTTTTGACTGACGTTGATATGCCCCTCTGTTTCACGCTCTTAATTACCTGCCCGCAATGTTACGCAATGTTATCTATTTTATCACATTTCCATCTCCTGTCCGACTCAATTTCTACCCTGCCCGTGCCGGTTTTGATGCGTTATGCTGTTCCTTTTATTTTACTACCTTTTCACTCTTTCTCACGTAGACATTCTTCCCTTGACTCATGTTGCGTGCGCCGTTCTGCCTCGCTTTGTTGGTGGTTGAAAAAGGAGGCCCGTATTGAGGTTAAACCGGGAGAGTTGATGTTATTAGATCTCTCGTTATACGGTGGGCGTGATGGGTATGTATATAGATTCGTGGGATCCTTCCTCCACTGGAGTCGAGTGGAGGAAGATTTTGGGCATTGAATCTACCGTGACTGTTCTCATGATGATATAGGAAACTCAAAAAGAGGAATATAAATGAAAAAAGCGAACGAAGCAGCCGCTCCGAACAATGTAGTTTCCCACCAGTCTTAGAACTCAAACTCCTAAAGAGACAACACACAGACGAACAGATAGACAGTAAGGAATATATTAAAGCAGCCGGGGATTAAATGACTTTGTATTCAGAACCGTCCTCTTTTTTTGCTTTTCACCTGCCGGGTCACGTTCACTCCTCGATATCCTTAACCTTCTCCCACTTGCCCTTCAGATCTTCCTTCCACAAGCTGACCTTGTTATCACCGCCGCTGACAGCAAGAATGTTACCGCTTAGGCTCCAGCTGACGCGCCAGACAACAGTGTCGAACTCTAGCTTCTCACTCGTCCATTCCTGAGGGTTTGATGGATCCGAAGTCCAGATTCGTACAGTCTTGTCTTGGGATGCGGAGGCAATGTAGGATCGGGACAAGATGCTAGGGGACCAAGCTACATCACGCACCCAGTCGGTATGGCCCTGAAGGGTTTGCGTTGCGGAGTAGGTTTTGGACTCAGGGCTAGATGAGGCCGCAAGTTAGCGATACTGCTTAAAGTAAATATGACGGCGTGAAAGTAGATGTGCATGCATACTTGTAGTCCCATATGAATATGAGATTGTCACTTCCACAAGTAACGAATCTTCTCGATTGTCCTGCACCAGCATTGGCGCTTATGATTGAACCCGCGGCGGCGGCGGGTGCCCAGCTGATAGAGTTGACTCCGAGTCCGTGAGCGTGGAAAATCTGATGTGTCCAGCTATTATCGCGGAACTCAAGAACGCTGACCTGTCCATCGGAGGAGGCGCAGGCGAGCAAGCAACCGAGCTCATGGGGTGCCCAGCATACCATATTTACGGAAGCAGTGTGGAGGGAGAAATCGAACACTCGGCTCCAGGAGGTTGAGGAGTGAGCGCCGCCGCCAACGCTTTGTTCACGCCATATGAGGACTTTCCCATCGTAGGAGGAAGATGCTAGTATTGTGCCGTATTTTGGATGTGCCTGTTGGTGTAGATAGACCGTTCAGCCATCTCTTCCGCGTATAGGATGGAAAGAACAACAACGTACCCACGCAACGCACCAAACCGCTCCTTCGTGACTAACAGAAAGTTAGTAGGTAGGTAGGTAGATGGCATTCCAGAAGTCCAACTAACCCCTTAAGTGTCTCGAGAAGCTTGTGTGATTCTCCCTCGATTTCAAATATCTTGACTGTCTTGTCTGAGGAGCATGTTGCAAGCTTCCGCCCAAAGTAGTCGAGTCCGGCATCATGCTATCCACGGCGAATTTAGTATTCAATCCCAAGCCAGATGTAAGGCACAAAAAGGAAGCGTACAATCATGTCATCATGGCCCGAGTTGGTTATCACTTGCGCCTGTTGTATCAACATGTTAGCGGGGGACATCCTTGAAAAAGGGGGAGCAAGACGGAGGATATATCCATACCATCCTGTCTATGCGTAGCTGTCACTCCTGGTATCTTCGTCTCAATTGGCGCAACCGCAGAGTAAATCAACAGGAGGACGGGGGAGGACTGTAGTCTGCGCGATGTTACTATCTGTGTTCAAGGTCGAAGTTCAACTTTCAAAGTGGTCGAGCTGGCATCAAAGGCAAGTCAAGCCACAGCAGCGAGAGGCTAGATCACGTGAATTTTCCACCAGCCACAGATAAATCTTATCTAATCAACTGAGGATAAACATTTTATCCTTTTACCGGCGCCTTTCCGCTTTAGGAATAAGCCTCGGCTCAACCAAGGGTCACGGGCCGTCGTCTGCTCCCTCTTCCTCTTTCGGCGATAAAGCAGAATGTCGACTTCACTTCTTCCTTTCACTTCTGCTTCTGCTTCTTCTTCTTCTTTTCCCTCCTTCACTTTATTAATTCCAGATATCTGTGGCTCTGCGCCTTTATAGAGTAGAACCATCACCTCCTTGCTACACAAGTGTCGTTCTCTTATCTCTTCCTTCCCACGGTCCGGCCGATCTGCTGTTACAGCAAGCTATATAAGAAACAGCCATGGCGGATGCACTTTGCGGCCCTTCAAATGCTCTACAGAACTTTCAGAAACATACGTCTGTTGACCGGACCCTTCAGCAGGATAGAATCTCCTCGCGACAGTCTCCAGCTCAGGTAAGGCGGGCCTGCTGTCACAAGACCGGGTTGAGCAGCTGCGCTAACTCCCTCGGCTTTCTCTACAGGGCTTTCGATCAAATACGTCGGCTCAGGGACAACTAGATGCAGAGTTCAATGCCTTCGAAGCCGGATACTCGGCTCCATTGCTCGCAGATCAGCCTAATAATATTAACGCCTTCCTACCTCCGCCTCCCCAGTTTGCGTCTCAGCCCAGCGCAGATGTCTCCGGCTGGGCTACCGATTTCCAAAACCTGCACATTGCCGGACCTCAGTTAGAACAACCACTACACCAGATCAAAGCCGATACACCTACATTCCAGGCCAACTCGGCCGGCCGTCACCATGAGCTCCCGCGTGGGGTACAGCAAACCCCACAGTCTACCATGTTCCAAGGGGGCATGGCCTACCGTCCTGGTATGGGCATGCTAGGCAATCCCGGGTTTGCTCGGCCAGATACCTTTACACCGGCCACCACTGAGAGCTTGCAGAGCCAGTCGAAGCCAGCAGAAGTCTTCGATGATTCCGCATTTGAAGCAGCGTTTGCGGAGGCGCGCGCCGAAATCGAGTTACAGGAGTCTGCACGACAGGAAGAGAGTTTAGCACTGCAACCAGAGGAACTAGAGCCGGCACCACTCGAGACGATTAGAATCGGTTCGGACAACATACCAGCCCAACTTGAAGAAGGGGTGAACGAGTCTGATGAGCTATCAAAGACCGCGGGAGAGCTACTTGACCGTGTGAGCCATGATCAAAGCCAGAAGTTCAAGCAGAGCAACTTCCTTGCCTTGATGAGACAACTCCGTGACCGCGAAATTGTCGTCGACGGTGACGAGTTCCGCAAAGTCAGTACTCACTCATAGTTTATTTTTCCTACGGCCCGAAACCAACCCACGCCACGTTCGTTATATAACTGCTGGGTACTGGAATTGAAAACGTTCTTCCGACTTTTCTTACGATCGTTTTGCACCCGTGCGTACTAATGGGCCTTTCAGGTGCAACAGCCTTTACATCCCGGCGGACCCCTGTACCCGGAACAGAGCAAGCTATCCGGAAGCCTCCCTATAGACCTAGACTCAGGCGAGCACAATGAAGCCAGTAAGTCACACCTGCACCCTTACATCATTCTATGTCCCCCTTACCTGCTTTGCTCTAACACCCGGCAAATAGGCACTTCTCCCGGAGCTTGACTACCGGAGGACTCGCTAGAGCTTCTTCCACCCCAACACTACCGTTATTCTCCTGATATGCAGTTCTCATCAGCAGACTTAGACGAGAGCAGCCATCAGCAGCGCGCAGAAGAAGACCGTGATGCCATCTACCGAAAGTTCCTTTGGAAATCCCAGCTTATTGATCACCGAACTCCCAATCCACCTGACTGTTTCTTCCGCCACGATTTGGACATTGACCTCCTTGGCTAGACTTTGGCTTGGTGCATTCACTCACTTTTTGGGGCAGAGAGCAGCTGGATAATTGGAAGGAGAGAAAGAGAGTGGTCACGCCCTCTAGAGACGTTTTTTTTTATATCTTAGCATCGTTATATAGAATACCCCTTCGGCACTTGAGCGAAAACATTCAGCTGTTTCCCCCTTGACCACCTACCTAGATCTAGTATTTACTTCCTTGCCGAGGCCAGGATCCTTCACAGGTCCATTACATCACTGGTGGATATCGCGTAGATGACAGTTAGCAGTTCCTGAGCAGGATTCATCATCACTGCCATCATGTGGGAGGCAACTAACCTTGGACCAAGCAAGGATCAAAGGCACTTTTGCTGCGTCTAAAGCAAACTTAGGCCTGCTGTTGGTTGTTGTGCCTACAACTATATGTACCAACTCTTTGCTCCCACGTCTATCCAGCCTTCCCAAGTCTGCATCCGCTCCTTGAACAAACAACAACACTCGCTGGGACATCTAAACACTGCTTTACACAAAAGACAAACTGCTTAAAGACTGCTTGATGCCATCGCCTGAGATACCCACCTGCAAAGTGACCACCACGTGACCTGCAGGCGCTTCCAGCAAAAGGCGAAGACGACGACGAAGACGCAGAAAGACAAGAACGACAGCGCCAGAAAGAACACCCACCGTCCCCCCTTCGGCTGTCGACGCTATCGCAGGAGCAGCTGTTTGGGCATCTCCAAGAGCATCCATCGCCTAATTAATAGTGTTATCTCGAAAAAAGTGCGTCGCATCGAGCGATCTTGATCTTAATCATAATCCACCCCTAGCTAAGCGCCACTCCCCATGGTCCAAGGGCAACATCACCACCACCCGCAAGCCCAACAACCACCGACTGCTCTGTCTCTCTGACCCGGCCCCGACCCCGAATACCTTGACCCGAGCCTGGCCCTTCCGGCTCGAACAGAGACACCAATAAGGAATACGAAGACGCTTTTGCTGGGCGGGAGCCGCAAGTGAAAAAGGGCCCGGCCGTCTCCCCTTTTTTACCGCCAGACACATCAGTCCTTTAGGGGTGCAGCTCAGTCGCGAACGTCCCCCCCGATCTCAGCACCGTGGATAACAACAGTAATTCACGCATAAACCCTCCCCCCAGTCACTCTCTACCGTCCGGTTCTTCATCGTCGATCGCTCTCTCGCCTCTTCCGCCGTCGTTTTCGTCTCTTTATTCAAGTGCAGGTCAGGGAGAAGGAGAGGAAGAAGCAGGCGAAGTAGTCGGTCTTCACCAGTACAACAACTCAGCACTCTCAGTCGCCGAGTCAGGGGCTTCTTCACCACCCACTTTTGCCCCGGCGCCTCCGTTTGAGGAAGCTTCTCCGTCCTCGTCACCCGTCACTCCTCGAGTAGTCACTGAGACCAAGGCCGAGCTTTCCAGAGACAAGGGCGAGTCGTCTGGCAAAGGTCAGGACGACGGTGAGCCTCCGCCTCCGTACACCGAGGGGTCCATCCCACTCCAGTCCTTTACATACGTCATGGCTGCCGCAGGAGGGGCTTCGAGTATCATCACACAGGTGCAGCAGACTGGCGGGCCGCCGCTGAACTCGCTTGGAGATATTGGCGGAGATGAGCACATAACGCTGGACCTGCGTGGCATGAGGTTCACTCTCTCCCGCGACGAGCTCCTTACCTTGCCCGAGTTTGTTCTTCTGTCCTTGTTCCCCAACGGACTGCTGCCGGATGGACACATGGGCTCCTTCCATGAGGGAGACGTATACCCAGTCGACTATGATCCGCTGTCCCTCCAGTACATGCTAGATTTCTTCCGGGCCGTTGCTCAGTCAATTCCGTCCTCTTCGCCTTCCCCAACTACCTCGCCAACTGTCGAGGCCGCTGACCCCATCCCGAATCCTGCTCGGGACATGCTGCAGGACCGCGCTGGAATCATCGTCCTGCGCGAAGACCTCGACTTCTACACCATCCCTCCAACCGCGGAGATTGAGCATCCAGAGATGATGGAGATCAAGCGAGCTGCCGGCCGTGCCTTACTCAAGCAGGACGGTATCTTCTCGGGACTACGGAAAAGTGATGAGCCCGGATCTACCGAACAGCATCTCATCGAAATGCTAACTGCAGGGTGAGTTTACACATATTCTATATTCTACCCTATGACTAAAATTACTTTGTCCATTAACGTTGTGTACAGAGGTTTCAACCATGATGACAGATGGGGCCACCGTGCAGGCGAGCCAAACAAGGCCGTGATATGCAGTCTGGCGCTGGCCAAGCTACGGACCGATATCAGAGGCGACTTGGCCAACAGCAATGCCGTCGGCATGGCCCAAAAACTGCTTCTATTCTGGAGAAAACCAGCCCGAAGATGCTGGTGGGAAGGTGTTGAGCTCGAGAACGTTGAGGGAGTAGAAGGCAAACTAAAGGTTTGGATCCGGAGAGTGTGGACCCTAGAAATGGTATATTCTCTCTCTCTTCTCTCTCTCTCTCTTTTTATAATATATATCACGCCTTTGATATCGAGAGATCGCGCAAGCTAACAACACGGTTACTCACAGAGCGTTATCGGCCTCCGTTGATCAAAAGCATCGCAAAAGAAAAATAACAGATTCAATTTTTTCATCATCTTATCTCCAAATATAATCACCCCGTACAACCTTGACTCTGCTTCCTTTCCGTCTGGACGAGAATCATCTCAGACCAACTATGTTATGTCGTGTTCTTCTTCTCCTTCTTCTGCTGCTGCTTCTTCTTCTTTACTCCGTACTTACCCATTTTACCTTTACTCTCTCACTTTGACATCTTTCAGTCTTCCATTTTCCTTCCCATATCTTCTCCTCCCCCCTTTTTGATCTCTCGAGACTCATTTGTTTCAGATCCTTAGGTGTTTTAGGGCGCAACTACATAACAGTCACTCTGTGCATTTCCTTTTCTCCTTTTTTTCCCGCCTGCTGCATCTGTCCTTTCTCCTTCCTCTTGTATGTAGAGACCACCAACTATACATAAGGATACCAACCTCCATCTTCTTCATCTTGTTCCCCCCTTTTTCCTCCTTTTTCTTCTTTTTTCTTCATCTTCGTCTGTCTTTTTGACGCTTTTTATATCTGATAGCTTATGTAATTCAATCTAACCCCTTTAGGCTAGCGCGGCCTTTCTCATGTTTCTTTTTTCTTTTCCTTCAAAGCAGAAAAAAATGAAGCAACAAAAACTTGAAGAAGCAAAAAAATGTCTTCATGAAGGAGATAGAAAAAAACTGCTGCTTTGCTTCTCATCTTCGTGTCTTCCACCTCTGTGCGCTTTGTAGCCTGTCTGTTGCGCGCTTCAAAGGCCGTTGCTGAGCAGCCTAACACCCCCCAGACGCGTCTCTGTCGAAAAAGCGCTGCCGCCGGCTCTTGGCAATGTCTATCGAGCTGCTCTGATAGAATCCCCAACGCCCTGCACCACCCTCCACTGCTTCACCATGCCGCCGTTGGGCTATGTGACCTCCTATGCCCCTCGACTGCGCCAGTATGCCAATTCGCTGATCTCGCCTGTTCTGCCAACCGCGCCGGCCGCCCCGCCAGTACGGACGACAAAGCGCGGAACCGTCGTAGTGAACTACGCGGAGAACGACTACGACGACGATGACTTTGAGGACAGCGAGGGTCCCCGGCGGCCGACCGGGTTGCGCAGTTTACGACGAGATGAAATAACTCCTTATCTGGGGCCCGCGGGGGAAAAACTAGGCAAGGAGATATCCGCGCCTGTCAACGTCCAGGCCAACTACAGGGACTGGGTTGTACGGAAGTCAATCAAAGCAGGGTACGCCAGAAGTCGAATCGTCGCGTTTTTTTCCCTTCTCATTTGACGAAGACTTAGAAAGCGCTAACTGGAATGCATAGGAGAGAGAGACACTTGAGGGCTCAGGCGCAGCTACCGGTGAATCTTATACCCATCCGAATCGATCTTGAAATCCCAGCGTTTCAACCTGTTGAACCATTCCCGTTGCCGCGAAACTACTTGGAAGCCGGCATCAACCCTACGCTGCCCGCTTATAGAAAGCCCGAACCGGCGCCACCATATAGGATAAAGGACAGTTTCCTTTGGAACCTGCACGAAGCCTTGACGACGCCTGAGGAATTTGCGTCGGTCTTTGTGCGCGAGTTAGACCTGCCAAATCCACAATCAACAGCTTTGGCGATATGTAATCAGATTCGGCAGCAGTTAGAGGAGTACGCTGGTGTTGCCATGCATCCCCTTTTTCAGACCACAGCAACTATGCCAAAACAGATAGATACCACGCCAAAGGTAACTGCCATTGCAGAACGACCGATCACACCAATGCAAACCACTCCAGCAACTCCTGCAGCGCCTTCTGAAACCGCAAAATCCGGACAGCAGAATGGGAGTGCTGCAGTGGATTCATCCGAGGCTGACTCGCCTTATGACCCCGACGATGCATATAGATGTATTGTCGTTCTCAATATAAATCTTCACAATAAGCTATATAGTGATAAATTCGAGTGGTCCCTTTTGCATTCGCGAGGGATGGCCGAGCAGTTCTCAAAAGTGACATGCGCAGACCTCGGCCTCGGCCCAGAGTGGGTGAGCTCAATAGCCCACGGAATATACGAGGCGGTTTTGAAACTGAAGAAAGAAGCGTGTGAGAGCGGTGCTCTTCTCAGCGGTGCCGGTGGCCTGGGGCAAGAAATCGACAACCAGGCAGCAAACGGCCAAGAAGCCGGCTGGCGATATGACCCTGACACTTTAGGAGACGAATGGGAGACTAGGATCGAGACTCTATCCAAGGAAGAGATTGAGAAGAGAGAAGGCGACCGAGAGCGGCAGATCAGGAGGCTTCGACGAGAGACGGCCAGGTTCTCGTCAACAGGTGCGGTTGCTGCGTCGGCACCGGAGCTATCGAGACAAGGTTCCGGCAGCTATTTCGATATCCCAGACGGCACCGAGACTCCCATGGGCCGCGGAGAGAGAAGTAAGAGGAAACGTCGCCTGCGAAGTCCCAGTCCAACTGGCCGAAGCGGTACCCCTGGTGGCAGAGGCACCCCAGACACTGGAGCAGCAGCCGGCTATGGAGGCGGAGGAGGAACGCTGGCTGACTGGGAGAGACAAGCATGGCGGTGTTCAAACTGCCTTGTCTGGGGCTCTGCAGTATGGGCAGTGCGGGATGGACCAGCAGGACCAAGGGTAAGTATTTTATCTCTATGTGCAACAATAAATATCTGGTATTGGCCCTGAGGCTAACAACACTTTTCAAACAGACCCTCTGTCACAACTGTGGATACCAGTATGAATGCAACAAGCAACTCCCAGCCTGGCAAAAGGGGCTGCATTATGTCGACCATTCAATCATACGTTAAGAACTTCAAATGCTCTCTGTGTTTATTGATCGCTACTGCCACTCCCTTCTGCCTTGCAGCAATCTAATCCTACCTGATGATCGAAAAATATATACCCAACCAAGTCCCAGACTTGGACATCCCCATCTATCCCAGCTACCAGAATCAACAAATGAATATTCCATTCTGACCTTCTACTCATTGCCGCCATCCTTACTCGTCGGTACCTCGTTTGCAAATATCCTTTTATCGGCTCATTTATAAGAAGGGCTTTACGGGAACCATCGACTGAACTTCATTTTCTTCTAGCCTTCCCGCCACCCCCTTTTCTTCCCCATTTCTTTCTACCTCTCCTTATCGATGTATTATGGGAACACGTTATGCATTTGCCGGCTGCAGAAGGATACGGTACAAAAGGCGCAAGCTGGCTCCGTCTTTGCTTTCTCTTCTTAATTCAGACCCCCCCCCCCCCCTTTTTTTTCTTCGCCTTAGCTGTTCTTTGATTGTATTTGTTTGGGATGTTCTCGAATAGTGGAATGCCTTACGTGGAGATAGTGAATATCAAACCTCGTGGGGAATGTAATACATTCATTAATTAACTAATTACCAATAAAGTAACAACTCCCCTGGGTGCCCTATGCCAGGCCAGCCGTGTCTCACACTCACTTACTCCCTCTGCAACCTATTCATCTCCGTCTCGGTTCTGGCAGTGTTTGCACCCACTCCTTCCAGCCCAGAGCCTGGATTCTTCCGATGATGTTCGCCTTCGTGTCTAATTTCGGTCTGTGTCTGACCCTGCATCGGCTTTCCCATTCCCTTATTCACGTCCGCAGATGTAGCTCCCATCAAAGTCGAGCTGGCGGGAACGCCTTCTTCATTGCCACCAATGTCCTCCGCCGACGGCTTGGGTTGGTATAAATTTCCACGCGGAGCAGTGCCTACTGCGACTGGCTGGGGGTGGGACTCTGGTACATGGTCTGCTGGTGATGCCTTGACGCCGGGTTTATGCTGGTTGCAGGACAGTATTAGCATATCGTTTATATAGCTGTATGGTAAACTATAGGAGGTAGGAGATAGTATAAAAATAAAAGTAAAAATACCTTTGGGCCATCCAGATGTTCGTCGTGAGGTCTTGATGGTTTGAATTCTCCAGCTGGGTGGTGGACGTTGGACATTTTGATATTGTATAATTATCTAGATCGTGATAACAGGGTAGTAGTTGTAGGCGTAACTTGACAGATATAACAAAACAGAGCGAAGATAAAGTATTGTTTCCCTAGTCCATCGGTCCTATATTTCATAGAGCATCGCTCTCTTAAATGATTGACAGACCTGTTGCAATATCCAATTGACGTCACATTTCGTGGCAAGAGTCTGACGTTGTCTGGGATGTTCTCCAGTATAAAAACCGGTCAATGACCCGGTTAGTTAACTAATATGGAGCTGGAGTCAACCCGTTGACTGCCTAAGTTAGTTAAAGATGTCCGCTCGCTCCTAGATCTCCACGATGATAACCAGGCACAGTACCTCGAGTAAGGTAGCCGGCAAGAGAAGCTGTGGAAAAGTGACGTTTCCAAGCTGCAGCATAGTAATCATAGGCCTCGATGCACCCTAGCCAACTAACTAACTGGGCAGCTAAATAGTTAGTTAACTACTTGGCTGAACCCGGGAAATCCATCCGGCTGGGCCAGGTCGCGCGATCAATGGACTCTTATCCATGACGCTGGGACAGATAGGATCTAGCGTAGAAAAGGTCGAGACAATGCAAGTACATGACATTCATCAAATAATAGCTAGTTCTAAGGCCGCCTGCGTCTAAAGAAAAACTCCGTACAACTCTTTACGAGAGTAGTAGTAATAATAACACATATCATCAGTGAAATAAAAGCCATGAAACTCGCATGGGGCACTTTCTATGTCATATCAAGGGCATCGCAGGTTGCTTGACGTTTTCGTATGGTAACTTTGTCACTCTGTTCCCCAAGCCTGCTATTTATAAAGAAGCAAGATAAGAGAACGAATAGAGGGTCTGTCAACTGTCTGGTTCGCAATATTGTTAGAGCAAACGCTTACGCCATACGGAGTATAATTAAAAGGATGACTTACTCTATTCCGCATGTCACCAATGGCAGTCCATATCAACTTTGGGCTCCTTGCTGTGCTACTTCGATGTATACTGAGGTCACGGGCGGATAGAGTAACCCATTGAATCAAGGATAGGCGAATAAGCCGCTCAAGTACTGGCTGACTCTTTGGTGGTAAGTACTCGCTTCCTCTCAGGGATCTCCAAGGGCTCCTATATGCTGTGTGTTAATGAACAGCCTAGATATTAAATAAGCTTATATGCACACTAGAAACGTACCGACTGTGCTCGACGCTTCCTGTCCAGCTGCCCCAATGCCAGATCGGATCCAGCCCTCTTCCGAGCTCCAGGACAAACCATGTTCGAATTCCCCGTAATCCTGATACCGGCGTTGACTTCAATCTCAATTGGCCGCTGCCTGCCCGTCTCTATATCATCCAAGACACTGGCGGACTTCAGGGCTAAGATAATAGCCGACGCCAGCTGTGCTGACTTTGCCTGTCGACGCTGCTGTAGTTGTTGCAGCTGCTGTATTGATGGAGCCGAGTTCTGAACATCTGACTGACTGTCTTCCGAAGCAGTGGGTATTGCGACGGTGTTGTTCTGCCCGTCGATGGAGATAGAGGTATCAATCTTAATGACAATGGGGGCTACAGACGTGCTATCATCTTCCTCGTCGTCTTCGAACTCCCCAAGCAACTCGGGTGTAGCAGTAGTAGCAGTGGCAGCGTATGGTGGTGGAGGAGCAGCAGCAGTCTGCTTTTGAAGGCTGGCCAGGACTTCTGCCAGCTTGAGGTTTTGGTGAGCAAATGAATCTGATGGTGGTAGCATCTTTTTCTGTTCTTTCTTCTGTTTTTATTTTTTCCCCCTTTTTTGGCTGTGTTCTGGTAGATAATTTGATAATTGGGGTAAAGGCAGGAATAACAACAGTCCAAAGTAGAGCGTTGCTATGGCTGACAGGCAGGAGAAGATGTATATATAAATAAATATATATATATAGTCAGACAGAGGAGAAAGAGGTTCTGTTGCTATGGCAAAGGACTGTCAGAAGTGTCAATGGAACAGGGCATTTAGTTGTTAGCTGGACAGTATAGGTTATTAAATGTAGGCTACTAAGTCCCTTTTGTTGGTACCCCAAAGCATGGATCCCTTAGCTAGCTGTTATTATTATTATCACTATCAACTGTGTGGCTAGCATTGACATGGCCTTGTATCAATAGAAACCCGGCTTTTCTTCTTTTTCTTCTTCTTCTTCCCTGCAGCTCCAAACATGCATCTTAATAACACTTTTCCTTATGTCTTTTTGCTTCTTTTTGCTTGCTTGATGTTGATGTCAATAGGCTTACTAAGCAGCATTCCTATTGTCGCCCCTTTTTGCTTTTTTGGGTTCTCAATAAGAAAGTGAGCCGCGACAATAGGAAGAAGATGAATAGAATAGAAAAAGCGAGGCAGACATTGGTTCGGGTTGATACGTGGCAGCACAAGAGGCCAGCATGCAGCAGCCGGTCGGGACATGGGCCCAAGGTGTTATCGACAGCTAGTTAGTTCGCAAGCATGACAATGGCTATACGTCTCGCTCAGCGTAGCTCTGGATCATGCCCTCGAGAGTCGGCTCATACTCCTTCAGAACCACCCGGTCGCCTTCCAGGACGGTGTTGGCCTGCACAAAGACCTTGCGCGGTACCTTCTTCTGCAGCACGACCGGACGCACCTTGGTCCCCCACCACTCGTCGACGTGGGTGCTCTCGTCGTAGAGCGCCTTGCCGGCCGCAAAGTCCGCCGTGCTCTTGTACACATGCAGCTTCTGGAGGTACCGCTCGACAGCCGGCCGGCCGTGGCTGAGGATCTTCGACCGGTCAAGGTGGATTTCCAGGTCAGAGAGGTCGTCCGCCGTGTGCACCAGGCGCACAAAGTCGTCGCCAGCCTCTAGGAAGACGCGCAGGATACTGAACCGCGCTTGCATGTGTGCCTGGCCCCATTTCTTGCTGCTTGGGTCCCAGAACTCGAGAGCAACGACTCCCGCGCGTGCCATCTGCAGGTAGCTGGCGTACAGGACGTCGCCTGCCACGCCGTTGATGTCCTCCTTGCCATCACCAAACCCGAACAGCTGCAGGATACCAAAGTCGCAGCCAAGAGCCATGGCCACACACTCGGCACGGCACTCCTCGTAGGAAGAGGCAATCGATCCAAAGACGGAGCTCCAGGTTTGGCCGGGTTTATACCAGGTCGAAATGGGCTTGCCGTCGATCGGGCTCACGGGTGGGTTGGAGACGTCAAAGTTGTATTTGCCGGGGCTGGTCTCCTGCAGCAGCTTACCCGTACCATGGCCGAGAAGTTCGTGGATTCCCACCTGCACTTCAAACGCGGCATCTCGGTGCTCACGGAAGAGGCTCAGGTCCTGCTCACGGATAAAAGGGACAGGCTCATTGGGTGCCTTAGCACTCAGCACATTGCCCAGGGACACGTTCTTGAATCCCAAGTTCTGGCGGATGTCGTCGTAGTTGGGGATGTTGATTCCAGCGGGAATACCGCTGCCTGCAAAGCTCATCACTTCGAGCGAGGTAAAGTCGGGACTCAAAAAGGTCTGCTTCTCGAATTCCTTGCTCCAGGGCAGCTTGGGAATCATCTTCTCGGCGTTCTCAACCAGCTTACTGAACGCCTTGGTGCGTTCCAAGTTGACCTGCAATATACAGTAGTTAGCGGCATACAATACCTACAATCGCTACGTAGATAGGTAGGGTAGATACGCACCATTGCTGCAAAGCCTTCCCACTCGCCTCGCACGCCATGAGGGTCACGGTAGGTCTCGACAAAGCCAATGTCAGACTCTACCATGGGGCCAATGTCCCGAATCCAGTAACGCTGGCTCTCCTTGTAAGCCTCTATGGACCCGGTGGTAAACGACTTGAAGTACTCTTCGTGCATCTTCTTCTGTATATCGTTTGCGGAGTTCGCACCGGCCTGCTTAATGCTCTCTGCAATCTTCTTCATGATCTCGGAATAGTCACCATACACAAGCGTAAGCTTCTTGCCGGCAAGCTTGCCTTCAAGATCCCATCCATCAACGTCTCCAACATCCCTGTCCTTGCCGGCCGGTGATGTCTCAGCCGACGCAATCAACAACTCAAAATTACCCTCCTTGGTCTTTCTGAGCCTTGTGTTTTCCAGAAGGAGCTGCTTCTTCTCTAAGAAGTCACCAATCAAAGTGATTTCTTCCTTGGTAATGGTTGGAGAATCGGGGTAATACGTCGTCATCTGGCCTTTCTCGGGGTATCCTAGATGCATCAGATCTAACGAAGCGGTCTCATATATCCCTCCTCCGGACTTGCATGCAAGCTCAAACAGCTTCTTCGTCTCCGGCGAGCCAGAAGCCAGAGCCTCAAACGCATCGGATGGGATTCTGGGGATGAACTTGGAGTCGCCGAATCCCTTGTAGTTTCCACAGTTCCCCAGGAACTGCGCGGCATATTCGAGGAAGAACTGCAGGTTCTCAGGGCTTGTGTTTGTCTTCGCGGCCAAAGCCTTCCAGTCACCCTTGCAGGAGTTGTAGAGAGATATTATAAGATCGTATATCGGTTCAGACTCGGGAGAGACCTGACGGAGCGTGATTCGGGTTCCCTGGAAAGCAGCCCTAGTACGGCCAAAAGGTCAGTCGTGTCTAACATAAAGATAATAAACAGATAATACAAAAAGAGCTGGCATCAAGCTCACCTGCTGATGAAATGGGAGTATCTCTTGAGCTTCTCATCCTTGAGAGCTTCAAAGTGAGGCCGTATCTCGAGTCTTACGATCGTTGGCGGAGAATCGGCCAGGTACTGGTGCTTTGTTTGGGTATCCATGGCTCTAGAGTTCAGCTTCCTACTACTACTCGAGAAATGCCGGTACAGAGATGTTGATGGTGATTGCAAAACTGGAGCGGACGGAAGAGCTCGAGGCAGTCGTTGATGCTGGTTGCGCAGGAGTGAGGCAGAGAGGAAGCCGCCGGACGCTCTGCTGCAGCTGCGGCGAAGAGGGGTCATCGAGATCATGCAAGGAAGCCTTGGTTACGATGTACCTATTTGTCTGCCTGTCAAACAACGTTAACCAATCCGGTAGCCTGACATCTTGTACCTTTTTTGCTAACAGCTTCACTGAATATTTGTTAAATACGACGTTTCTAGCCCTTCTTATCGATAACTAGAGATTATTTAATCTAATTAACTTGTTAACTACGGGAGAAGCCGGCTAGGGGCGAGGATATATCAAGGGAGATAATAGAAATAAAAGCTATCGGATCAAGTAATTTTCATCGTAAGGCTATGTCCTAAAAGTCATTGAACGGGTTCAAGTCTAGAGCAAACTGTCATACTTATCCAGCCCCTGCTTTTGCTGCTGGTTTGAGCTGGCAGACGGAGGTGAGGGTAGATTAGAAAAGGCAGACATTGTGTTGTTTGAGGTGGCTGAATGGGTTCGTTGAAATTGGTTATTGTTCGAAGGAGGCGGAGCGATGGTGTACGGAGATGAAGGTGTCATGGTGTTCATCTGCCCTTGGGTTTGCCATGATGAGCTGCCGCTGCTAACAGGCTTACCACCAATGGTAGGAATGTTGAAGGAACTGGTGCTGGGGGACGTAAACTGGCTAACACCCTGCTGGGCACCAAAGCTGTTGTTTCCCATCATCATCATGCCGCCCTGAGGAGCCTTGGGCGAGAGAGGCTGAAGCGTGGCCATCGAAGACAGCGACGAAGTGTTGCTCTTATGCCCCGGCTGCAGCGTCGGGAACGAGTTTATAGTCGTGTCAGGCGTGATTGATCGCATGTTTGCGTTTGGTTTTGATAGTCCGCCATTTCCTTGCCGTGCAGAAGCAGCAGTAGTGCTACTGCTAGACCACGAAAACTGGGGTACAGCCTCTGTCTTCGTAGCAGCTTGGGCCATAGACGTAGACGAGCTACCCCAATCACCCCAAGAGTCCATGGAGGGAGACGACTCCTTGCTCTTACCGAGCACAAGCCGCTCAAAGTCGGATTTGTCGCCGCCAGCTCCTCCCCCGTTGTTCAGAGGAGACACCCTACCGGTTTGGAGTGATGAACTCTTGGAAAACTCACCCGCATCACCGCTAGACGATAGTTGCTGAAGCTTTTTAGTCTGTTCTCGCTCAATTTTTGACGACAGTGACTTAATCAACTCCATGAACGAAGAAAATTGCTGCACATTGAGAAGCGGACCGAGTGCAAAACTCCAGAGGATTGGGAGGACTTCAAGCGCTGCGAATTCTATATCGACCGTGTGCTCTACCTGTTTGAACACGTTCAAAGCGGCAATCATTACCGCTGGCTCTTTGGTCTTGATTGCCTTTAGCAATGGAATAAGCTTCTCTTGGATGGAGTATTTGTCAAGGATAGAGTGGGAGGTTGACTTCGCCGCTGTCTGGGAGTCCGCGATCATTCCTGAAAGATCGTCGTCTGTGGGCTGGCTGCTAGACTTGGCCGAACCACCACAGAGAACACAAAATGCTTCTAAGCCCCGGACTTTTATCGCAAGACTGCTAGTTCTGGCAAATACCGATGCTATTGGGGGGAATATTGCGTCTTTCACTGTTGTATAATCAAGAATAGGAAGCAATATCGGTAGACACCTCATAGTTGCGTCTACTAATGAGTGAGTTGGAGAATCCAATCCAAGGAGTATCAGTGGTATTACATCTATGATAAACGTTAGTAGAGTAAGTAGAGGATTCTTGGTATTATGGGTGACAGACCATCCTTGAAGACTTTGCCAGAACAGTTATCAGCAAGAACTTGCATATTCTCCAAGACAACCATAAGCCCAGCTTCTTTGCTTGTATCTCTTTCTTGAGCAGCGCCTTTACTACTCTGGGGGAGAAATATTTCCTTGAGGCGGGGAAGAACTTTGTCCGGAACTAGTCGTTGGCTTGTGGGAACTCGTGAAAGGATCTTGAAGACATTTTGAAGAATAAGCGGCAGTAGTTCTCGATCTTTGCTTTCCTCAAGCAATGCGTCCAGAATCTTGCGTTCCAGTACTGAAGCTGGAAACTCTGGCAAAATTCTAGATAACCCCCTCATAAACTGTGACTTTTCATTTTGTGTTTTGGCGGGGAAAGTGTCCAGGAAGCGGATGGTGGAGACAAGAATGTTATCAAAGTACTGAGATTGTTGGAATTCACTGGCATTCATCCGCTGGGCTGGTCGCCTGGTAATAAGCTTCGGTAGAACATGGTTGGCGAGGTCCTTTGGTATTGGTCCGGAAGAGAGAAATGAATTTGATTGAGAAGGAATAGTGGAAGAGGAGCTAAGTAGTTTCTTGTATGTGTTCGTGCTGCTATTAGTTTTCAGTGGAGAGGTATGGGGGGAGTTGAAAAGGGCAACTATTATGAGCCCAAGGGAGAAGAGGTCCGCTGCTGAAGAGACATTGGAATCCATAACAAAGTCAGGAGAGGTATAATCCAAATCAAGTTGTACAGATCTAGGTAGCCGGGGGTCATGAAATAAGGCCTCAGATAAGGCAAGGGAGGGTAGTGGCGATTGAGACTCAGGGTTTGTAGGCCCGGCAAACGATAGGCCAGATATCTTCCAATCTGACTTTGCGTTTATGTAGATGGCTTCGGGAGTGAGATTGCCATGCACGATTTTGGCAGACTCATGCAGGAACTCTAGGCCCTTGCCAATCTGAAGAAGTCCCTTTTGGATCTCAAGTTCGTCAATCTCGATTTCCCGCCTCCCTCTTGATCCATCAGCATCCTCAGCAATGTGTCGACTGACCCTTCCTCCGACGCGACTAGATAAGTCTTGATCAGTCTTTTCCTGTAGAAGGCCGGACAACGATGTTGTGACCGCTTCTGTGGCAAACATCAAACCGCCATGTCTCGTATCTTCCACTGGTTCAATGATCTGGAGAATAGACGGATGTCTCAGGCGGGCAAGATTTGCGGCTTCCCGTTTAAGCCTCTCAACGACTTCTTCATGGACTTTCTTCAGCGAGGTACCATTTGACCGTGAAACCAGCCCTCCAGTCCGGGGATCCAGGGATTTCCGGTCAAATATGAATATAGAGACAGCTTTTCCGGAGTTTTTGTTCTTGCCATTATGAACCTTCCAAGGGCCCGAAATAAATGAGGGATTGGGTGAATATTGGTAGTTATTGGATATGTTCGATGAGAACGACTTCAAAGCTGATGAGAACATGGCGAATGGTCACTGGCGATTCACGCTGAACGTATCATCAAATACAGCTGGCTCCCCAGGAGCATGTTGGTATTATCAAATCCTCGGGTATCTTGCATCAAGTACCTAGCTACTCCAGCGCCGCAAAGCAGATATCAAACCTATGTGTTCGCAATGAGGGAAAGGGGGGTATGATGTGAGGCCCGTTTGGGCATCAACTTTGAATGCTGGCGCGTTAGCGCGAGATCCAGGCAATCTCCGCAAAGTCAATTGACAGGGTCAGAACGAATGTATTGCGCTCATAAACGCCGAGAGCCTGCTAGGTAATGCTTGCCCCCTGAAACTGTCACCGTATGTTTATGTCTGGCGATGAAGGCCGATCAAGTTGCTCCCCGGCCGCCAGCTAGCGAGCCAGCGACTCCGATCTTCCCCTTTTGGCCTCTGGCAAAAACCTGAAACTTACACGTGACCATCCACGTGATACATATTATCTCGGCCGGAAGAAGGAAAAACAAGGCGCCGACAAGCAGATCCACAATCGGCAGCGAAAGCCGCGATCCCGTGATCCGATTGGCGCATAAGGGGCCGCAAGCGAAACGACCGCGGTTAAGCGTTCGTTTCTCCTTCTTTTCCATCTTCTCATTGATTTCATCCTGAGACGTGCGAGATTACGTGAGTCACTTACCCCGTTGAACATATATGAACCATTGAATCCCACGAAGATCTGTCCTCCTTTTTTGATTGATTCTGGTGAATCCGGTTTATCCTTGCAGTTATGAAGTCATTCGTCCCGTTACATCGAACTCTCAGCGCAATGACCACCCCAAAGAGCCCTGTCACGACCAGGTTCGGCAGATATCAGAGGAACTACAGTGCCAGCCGCTCACGCAGCGATGGCCTCCCCGGGATTGACTACTCAAAGCTCACTGTCGCAAAGTCTGAATCCCCCAAGCAGCTGCAGCAGAACAAGGACCTAGTATTTGGAGCCACCTTCACCGGTATTTTACCCAGCTTCAGCCAAAGTCATACTCGGCATGAGTTATTGCATCCAATACTGACCAGCATACCCTAGATCATATGCTGCAGGTGAAATGGAACACCAAAGATGGATGGCTTGCTCCAAGTATCATGCCATACCAGAATTTGAGTCTGGCTCCATCTGCCTCTGTATTCCATTATGCCTTTGAGTGCTTTGAGGGTATGAAGGCCTATAAAGCCAAAGATGGCTCTATCCGCTTGTTCAGACCTGACAAGAACATGGCCAGACTGAACAAGTCAACCCAGCGTATTGCACTTCCAACCTTTGACACCGAAATCATGACGAAACTCATTGGTGATCTTGTCAAACTGGACGGCAGATTCATCCCAAGGTATGCCTTTTTTTTGTCTCTTTTTGACTTTTTATTTCCACGCCCTATGTACGCTTTCCCTGCTAACTTGCTCTTGCAGCGAGCGGGGCTACTCTCTCTATCTAAGACCAACTGTTATTGGAACGCAGGAATCTCTTGGAGTTGCTGCTCCTGGATCTGCTCTTCTTTTTGTAATTGCCAGCCCGGTTGGCCCATACTACCCCACAGGCTTCAAGGCAGTCTCTCTTGAGGCGACTGACTATGCTGTTCGTGCCTGGCCAGGTGGTGTGGGTGACAAGAAACTCGGTGCAAACTATGCACCTTGCATTGTTCCGCAGATGGAAGCTGGAACTCGCGGCTTCCAGCAGAACCTCTGGCTCTTCGGTGAGGAAGAGTATGTCACTGAGGTTGGAACCATGAACTTGTTCATCGCCATGAAGAACAAGGAAACTGGCAAAAATGAGCTTTTGACCCCTCCATTAGATGGAACCATCCTCGAAGGTGTGACCAGAGACTCCGTGCTGACTTTGGCAAGGGAGCGTCTCGTCCCTCGAGGATGGGGTGTGTCTGAGCGCAAAGTCACTATGAAGGAAATCTCTCAAGCAGCAAAGGATGGCAGGCTCATCGAGGTCTTCGGTGCTGGCACCGCCGCCATCGTAAGCCCTGTCCGCGACATCAGCTGGAAGGGACAGAAAATTGAGTGTGGGTTGAAGAAGAATGAGGAGGCTGGCCAGGTTGCCCTCGAGATGAAGAACTGGATTGAGGAGATCCAGTATGGTGAGGTGGAGCACGAATGGAGGTAACTATATATCCCCGAAACCCTTTCCCCTTGGAGCCTTGACGATGAAGCTAATTCATGCGATCGTAGTGTCAAAGTGTAAAAACCTCCACTGGGGTACAGCTGCCTGTCGCCTATTGAGCGGGGAATAAGGTCCGCGACTTAGCGTGATTTCCTCTTTTCTCTTTATTTCTGATGAGCTACGGCGTATTGCAAATAGATTTCCCGTCATATAGACAGATGGGATAGATATTTGAGTATTTAGGCGATTTGATTTCACGTTGATTCATGGGAGGGATATTTCAGACTCAGTTACAGCCAGTCAATACAGATAGTCAATAGATAAAAATAGTCTAACGAATTAAACAGCCGTACGCATGCAAGTATTTGGTCCCTGTTAGTCGAGTTTACAATTGCAATATATTATCCGTAGCTTTTCCCAACGGAGAGTCCGAAGTTCACACTCTTTTAACGAGATGAATTTTCAAGTAACAGGCCTCTCAGTGTCAAACTGGTATTTTGGGCGTGGGGGGTTTAGGTCTTGACGGCCACCACGAAACCCAACGGAGTCCTTGGTATGTAATTCAAGGATTCTGAGAGAGTATATACGAACAGAACGCCACGTTGACGCCTTTGCCTTCAACCTGAGTGGCCTGTTGCTGGCTATCCCTGGAGGTGCGATCTGTGACAGACCTGAAGCCAACGCCCACGAATGGCTGGCTGGTTGACGCGCCAAGATTTCCGGGGGATGGGATGTGTTGTTATTTTTAGTCGCACCTTGACTCCGCTCCCACCAACAAATAACTAAACTCGGCGGCTCCAAGGCCTATTTTATTTTTAGATATATGCATAAAATGATGGTCTCACGACGAATCTTGCTCAAATATCCCCTTTCCAGGCGCGATATATCATGTTCGTTCAATTTAACGTAACTCAATGGAGGTATGGTGTGTGTTTCTGATAGACAGTTTTTGCCAATATGTTGAGTAACTCCTTTCGGTACGATGTTCCTGGCTGTGCAAATCTGACGCCTGTCGAACCTGTGGGAGCCGATGAAACGCGGAAGGAATACCTGATTGTCAAGAAGTCACGGCGCCCTCGGATAGCGCATACGTGTTGCATCCGACGGGCCAACCGGTTCCGCACCCCTGTTTTCTATGACGCCTGATGGAGCGGGATTGAATGGAGATGGCTCGCTAGCGGGTAACTAAAAAGATGCAAGGGAGGGTATCTCACCGCATCTTCTTCCAAATGAGGTTTCCCTAACGAGGCAAAATCGATCAAAGTCAATATTGATACCTCGACCATGTACAAAACGCAGAACTGGAGGAGCCAGGTTTCGTATTCTCAAACTAATACTGTCGCTGGCGGTCATACTTACATGATCGAATGGTAGCGATTGCTGCATGCAGGGGGGAACCTTTTACTTCATCCTCGATACAACCGCGGCATCATATTGGATTTCGGTCATATCGACCGGACATGATCCCAGTCGCCGTTCGTTTCTTCAAATCACTTTATAATTATTACAGGAATTCGGCTTACAGTGAGAGCTTTTATGGCTTGTAAGGTCAAGACGATTCTATATACGAGGAAACAACTCCAGGGTACTTGGAATATCCCTGGTAGTTCCCGGTCAGCACGAACCACCTGGGTTGAATCACATGAGACTAAAATAGTGCACCTACAAGCTCATCCTGGGGAAGATGCCGGTGTGTTGTTAGCAAGCAAGGAGCAGTAGGTATTGGCGTCTACTTCGGGGAGGTGTTGGCTTGCTTGCGTCAATGCCATCCATGAAGCAGCTCGAGCGCCCTTTTTTTTCCGGTCCGGAAGTTGTGTACGCTGTGAGGTAGTTTTCCTTGACGATGGCCCTGATGACGTTGGAGGGTGGGTAGAATTGGGTGATTACGTGCCCATCTCTTTCAAATATGCGCCTTTGTGGCGTTTCCATCACGGACTATCCTGCAACCTGAACTCTTCGTCCACATCGATGCATCTTGGCTATAGCTTTAATTAGCTTGAATCTGGACCGCAATGCTTACTTAGCCTTGGTATTCTCAAAAGCCAGTTCTCCCCCACCGGATGCTGTTCCTAGTTCGTGGTACACATCGGCCCGCGCTCAACTTTTTAACTTTCGGGTATCAATATAACGACGTGAGTTAGTTTGTTTGTTGGTTAACAGCATCTTTTGCCTGAAGGTTGATCCTCGTGATCGCTGAGAACTGGAGAACAGGGTTTCAATATGAACTTACTTCTATAATGGGGATATGTAACTATGTACAAGATAGACAATATGGAGAAGAAAAGAAAAAGACTAAGAGGACACATCAAGGTGACTAACAGCTCTGGCCGGCAGGCACCGATAAAACAATCCATAACAAAATTTATCAAAAAAGCTGATCATAAGGGCATTAAAAGTGGCACTAGTGTTTCCTCCAAGGCTTAGTATCGTGAAGTTGAACCCGCCCCGGGGCCCGTAGAAATTGGGTACATGTCCGAGTAATCGTAATTGTACATCGGGTCTGACACCTTCATATACGGAGACATCGTTGCTGCGATGGTGACCGCGGAAGCGACTGGCAGGTTCGACGAGGTAAGATAATCAACATCAATGCCGCAGTATCGTTCTGGCCTGGAAGATGCAAAGTATGAGGACGATATTGAATGCTCTGGGCTGTCAATCCCCGACCGCTGGCCACAATAGATATCCGGTATCACCCCTGGGAGCGGTGCGCATGAGTATGACGCAGGTATAGAGCCATCTGAATACGTGCTGTAGGGAGAATACGTGGCCAAGGGAGCCGATGATATGGAGCTGACGCTTTCAAAAGACTGAGAGTAGAGAGGTGGTGGTGATTCCTGCATCAGCTGAAAGTTGGTAGGGGGTGAGTTTGACGATAATCTTGGCCGTAGAACAGGCTTCAGCGACCTGGCTGTGAGTTGTTCGGTGCCTTCAGACGACTCAGCAATGTAGGGGTCATCCTTGACCGAACTGCTCTCGTCGGGCGAGTGCTCGGGCGAAGAGGTCGCCTGTCTGAGTTGGTCCTCCTGTCTCTTCTTCAGCTTCTTACCTGTAGTTAGACCGTTAGCAAAATAGCTGTTTAACTATTTCAATCAAGTATTCTTTTTGGGGTTTCTCACGATAGTTCCGTTGAGCAATTCTGTTTTGGATACGGCGTCTTTCCGCAAGATCGGATATCTTCGTCCAATCTTCATTCGGATGCGCATGGGGACTGAAGGCACTCCTGACGGAGAACTTCGATACATATGAGTCCTGGCAGTGGGGTGGTTGGCTGTTTTGGTAGTCGGTCATGGTGGTATTCAAATGTAGGGCGGCCGTCTTTGAGAAGTTATCTGAGTCGGTAACTAAGGTAGGTAACTAGTTAAACGAGATGGGCGTCTAGATGACTATAACTATCTGTAGCGATATAAGAGTAGAGTATGGCAATTGTGAATGTATCTGTCTCCATAGGATGGACGGGATAGAGGATCGGCCAAGGAATATATATACCTAGATACGTACATATGTGTCGACTCCAGATGATCAATGGAGATCCTATATATAGATCCAGAGGCATCAAGCAGATGTACGGAGTATACGGAGCACCCTGGTCGAGCAAATAACAAAAGTTGAAAGGTTAGCCGGAAGGCTGGACATCCTGCTCAACAGGAAGAGCGTCCCGAGTCAATCACTGACCAAGAGAGAAGCCTTGTCCTAGCCATGGCCAGCCGGGGGTGGGAAACCGTAGAGGCTGATATCTCTCCCATGATCATCCGCGGACATGCGCTGGAACTGGCGCAGGGTCCCAAGGTCTGGCTCGATGTGTTATCCACCTACGTACTTGGCAGTCAAATCATTTTACTAGTCAAGTACTTTAAAAAAAACCATTTGGTTGCTTTCCCAACTCCATGATCAACTCGTTGACCAAGCAGCTAGCTAGTTAGCCTGCGAGACTGCATAGCTATCCCGCTCCCTTCGACGGGCCCCCAAGCTCTGCTAATGCGCATGAAACAACCGCTAGCCTCTGGGTCGACAAAAAAGGCCCATTATCAGGACAAATATTCATACTGAAGCGCTGAGCCACCATTACGGTGGGTTTAATATCACAAGAATACGGGTTAATAAAAACTGGCAGCCTTTCTCAGGTGTGCCTAAATCACCAGAGAGACAGCCTCACCGGCCCAACCATCCAAGCAAGATGCCTTGAGTGTAAGCCGCACTCCTCGTTTCTCAACCGCTCTGGCCAGCATCCAGCATTAAATGGAGATGCATGTACAACATTATGGTGGAGGCTTGTTCCCGTCAGGGTGTTGTTTTCTCCTGATCGATCTTTTCTCCCTTTAGCCAAATTTACACACAGAAAACTGCCTGGCGAACCAACATCCTTGCTCTTAGACCTCGCATTCGATCGTTTCACGAGCTGCTATGCATAAATGCAGGCAGGCAGACATCGACACTGGCACTCTGCTGCAGAGCAAAAGTCTATCCCGAGTCGGAGAAATATTAAAATACTACTGCAAAACGGGAGACACAGGGCGCCAACAGGGCGTCAAGGGGCCGTCAACCTGTAGTTACGGAGTACTGTAACTACTGATTCCGCGGCCTGTTCGCCACTCGAAGCTGGGATGAAAAAGGCAGAAAAGGCATTGAAAAAACCAGCCAACCAGCGAATAAACATTGTGACTCCGGTCTAGGCTGAAAGCCGATTCGTAAGTAGCTCTAGCATTGCTGCAGACCCGAAGATTTAGCTCGTTTCGTTCGCTCATTGCGTGCACTATTTAAAGAAGCAAAGTCAGATAGTCTTTGTCCGGCGTGTGGAGAGGATGGGCCGTCTTTTAGTGAGAGAGGCCATTGTTGGTAGATTAATTGGAAGGATAGAGAGAGCAATGGAAGATAAAAAGATGTAGGCGAGCTGACGGCCTCGTCTGCAATTACATGCTTGTACTATGTTTCCTTTTTTTAGTGTTTTTTTCCCCTTCCCTTTCTTGATATATTCACCTGTCTGATATCGTGCATATTTGACATGGTCCTGAAAAGCTGCATTGAACACATATAACTCCTCTCTCAATGCGTGAACGCGTCTCAAAGAAGAATGGAAGTGATAAAAAATAAGTAACTGCAAGTATCCACAGAGGGAACGGGTTCAAACGGTGACGATTCGCCAAGAGTAGGCCAGGGGATATTCTGCTTGCAAAATAAATTAGCACGGAGTCCATGTAAAAAGTTATTATATATGCTGATAATAATAATAATAATAACGATATAAAATATGTCTGAGAAAATAATAAAACTTACTTCTATTTACCCGCCTTGCCCCCGTTCGTGTCCATCGGATCCGTCCCATTCGGCGCGACCACTCTCCGTCGACGGATTGGGGCCTTCTTACGTTGGTTGATGACGTTCAACGTTGCGTCTCTATCTGCTTGGCCCTCTTCATCGTCGTCACAGTCAGGGCCATTGCCTGCGTGGCCAGAATGGTATATTGTCGTTTCATCCAGTTCATTGATGTCCTCTGGTTTCATTCTTAGCCATTTCATTCTTGGCCCAGATTTGGCACGCTCTGATACTTTGAAACCGTATATCCGGGGCTCGTATATTTTGCTGACACCTAGACCTGGAGCGATGTTCGCTACATTGAAACCATTGAGTTGGACCGGTTGGTTTGGGGGCTGCGAAACGTTGGACCCTGATGGGCTGTTTAGAGAAGTTCGTCTCGCATTAGCTCCAGCCAAAGCACTGGCACCAGTCTCCGCCTTGGCCGCAACATCAAGCTCTGGAAAGGTCATGAAAAATAAACAGCCGAAGGTTGTGCCGAAAAAGGCTCCGTCAACGGACTGGAACCTGCTGTTTGGCGGAGTGTAGATATCCTGACAGCTGGGGCAGTATAGCTTCACCGTGTCCCTACCGGGAATATCTGAACGACCCACGGGGAGAACCTTGCACCCGCCGCACAGGACTCGTGGACAGGACCCGAAATGCTGCAGTTGGTATTTTTCGAACATCTGCTGCATCCCCTGCCGAGACGTTATGTAGCGTTGATGAATCAGTCCATATAGCAGTTCCCCGGAGCTTTCGATAACGCTCAAGTCGCTTGCAACACGGTTGTGTCTTCTCTCGGACTTCTTGTAGTCTGGAGACCGCTCATCTCCCAGGACAATATCCTCATCTTCCTCATATTCGTCGTCGTCCTCTTCGTCTTCCTCGTCCGAATCAGGCTCTACATCCAAAATGAGCTCTAAAGCCTCCTTATATCGTGGTACCAGGGGACCCAATCCGGTCAGATTGAAGTCATCTTCGATGAACTCTTCCGAGACTTCTGCAAAATACTCATGGCCCATTAATGAGCAGTATGATGAGATCCACGTCTCCCCTGCCCCATCTGATATTAAGGACATGGTAAACGCGGGTTTGAGAATGTGGCCGTAGATATCAAAGTGTCAACGGGTACCTATTTGATAGATATTGCGTGGGTTATGGATGGACGGCCGGGTTGTTGTGACGGCGAGAAAGTATGATTCAGAGTGGGAGAGTTGTTGCCCCTTGCACGCGAAGACCGGAATTCAGGATAATGGCCGCGTGTGGTGAGGGAGGTAAAGGTCACAGCGAAAGCTCTAGGGAGAAACAACCATTATGCAGGAGGATAGGGAAGTAAGTGACTTTGTTGATCTTCGCAAAACAGCTTGGGCACGCGGTCTCGGTGTCTTTTTTGGTCCACCCCACTGTCAAGTCCGTTTTTCCGATTGTATGTCGCCAGAAGAGCGTAGTCGCCGGGCCTCTTGCTCGCAAGCGTATCTATATAGCACAATGTTCTGGCACTGGGGAGACGGACAGAGGCCGAACTCGTAAAAGATGGTGGGATAAATAACGAGTTAGTTAATTGTGGTAACTATCGATAACAAGCGGTTGAGCTCGTTGCGACAGGGATCTCGATGCTGTGGTCGGTCGATGCGACAGGGTGCGGTAAGGAGAGCCAGGAGCCCTGGAGGTCCCGCGGCACAGTAGATTCGCGGCAACAGCGGCCGAACGTCGGTCGCAGGAGAGGAAGCAGAGAGCTTGATTAATGAATTCCTGTTTGATTTGATTGATTTTCTCGATGTTTTTCCTTTCGACTTTTTGTTTTTGCTTTTCGAGGTTCTGGGTCGTCATGTGATGTGCTGAATAAGCACTCTCCCCCCGAAAAGCCCCAAAGGAAAACAGAGAAAGACATTGAATATTTGGCATTTTGACATTTGATACTTGACATTGATATAGATAGACAAGGCTAGCGAGGGATATGCATTGTGGCCTCGTAGCATTGAAAGACAGAAAAGGGTTGCCGTCTGGCTACATGACAGTGGGAAGTGTACACATAAATAATAATGATGATGACAAAAGAAAAGGCCTTCCTGTCTGGTCATCAGAAGAGATCCTGTATGATCCTCGAAAACTCCCCTTCGTTGCCCAGCACTGCGGGTATGCTGTCTCCAGTGGCAGGCAGGGTATGATCAGGGCCAGCAAACCCTCCCCCGTTCATTCCTTCAGGTGCCGAAGTAGTCGTGATGTACCCGTTATAATTTTCAATCGCTTCAAATAGATAAGTAAGCTCGTTGCTCATTTGTATGCCGTTCATTGGGCTGCTCCCTAGTTCTCCGTTTGTGTGCTGTCCTGCATATGGCGAGATCCCATCAACCGGATGCCCTGCAAGGCCGGCCATGGCTACTGCCGCTGAGGAATGAGGGTCTGCCGACTCTGTTGGTAGAGCATGAGGCAGCAGCCCAAGCCTTTCTCCTACCTCACGCAGACCTTTGATCATTTTCCATAGCCGCTTGGATATGTAAGACTTGGTACTGAACCCCTTTACGAGGTTGAGAGCCATGTGGAACTCTTCCGTTAACTGGCGGTTGAACTTGACTGGGGCATGCGATATGGCAAGAAACAGGACGACGAGGGCTCCAACAAGGAAATAGTTGAAGAGAATCTGCTGTGAGCGGTAGATGTCGGTTGTCCGGTTGAGTTCGCTCAAGACGCGAATGGTGTCTTTGGCAATATCTACAACGGTTTGAGCATATGCCATATTCTCGACGATGCTGGTTGCAGAATGCAGTACCGGCCGGTATATAAGTATTCTCATATGGTTTCCCCGAATATACAAAACGAAGCGTAGCCGCTGTATCCCGCGGTTCATGCCGTCCGTATTGCGGGTAGTATCAACAGAGTAAAAATTGAGCGGGTCTGGGATATGTTTCATCCACTCGACTACCTGATAATCGAGGTAGCCCATCTTGTCCTTTTTGATGTTCAGGTCGGCCTTTGATCCAAAACCGGAGTACCATACTTTGGAAGCTATACGGCAGTAATGAACCATAGATCTTAAATACGGGACACCGTCGTCCTTGAGTAGGTTATTCCACGGTTAGACTCTCGGATAAGTCATTCAAATGGGGGTGAAAGGAGTAACAACTCACTGGTTCGGGTAAGCATGGATCTATATCGTCATCCTGTATTACAAAAGGAAGCCCGGTTCCAAAAGCCCATCGCTTGTCCATCGTGTAAACTGACCAAAAAATTCGATAAACAGTGGTGACTTCTTCCGGTGAGTGGAACATCTTCAAGACGGCCTCCCGCCGATGTAGCCCCATTTCAATGCACATCCGAGCGGCAAGCCCAACCATACGGTATGCTAGGACTTCATCGTCCGTGTGGAAGTGATAAGTAGCCTGCGTTCGAGCGTTAAAATGAGGAGGTGAAGTAGAGTGTCTAGAAAGATATACTAACCACAAGGGTAAGAAGCTTGATCATTTTCAGGTCTCCCTGCTCCCAAATGTTGGTCTCTATCTTGTCTTTGATACTGGCATACAGCTGGTTGCCTAGCTCGCTCTGTCCGTTACCTTCAAGGAGAAGCGTGATGGCCAATACCATCTTCAAGATGGCAGTATCATCATCATTCAGGCAATCAGCACTGGACCTAGATCTCCCCGTGCAGACATTTCGGTCTGCGGCTTCCAGAAAAGCAAAAAGGAGATTCGTCTGGGTGATCATCTTTTCCACATCAAACATGGGGTACATCATCCCTATCTCATCCTCGTACACCCGACATAGCCGAATGGCCTCCTCCCGCTTGATCGCGAACAACGGATCCTTATTCGACGTCAGAGAGTTCGGATATATTGGAGCCGGCTGGTATGGTGGTGTCTGTGTGGGTGTGGCGTCTTGCGCATTGTATATCTCCTGCGTGCCGTCATCTATATGGGTGATCCCCATGGTCTGAAGACTCGACTTGGCCACCGCAAAGTTGAACGCCGTACTGGTAGGTCCATGGAAACGGAGATGTTTCGCCCTCGGCTTCGCTATCGGAATGTTCTGTGTATCGAATGTGGGCTGATGCCAGGATATCGACCTCGATGCCTCGCGGCTTAGCTGGGAGTTGGTATCAACGGCCGGCGACTCGGTCTGTCGGTGGAGGCCATTGATGCTCTCGAATAGCGTGTTCACCTGTTCCTGAAGGCGCTCAATACGATCTTTCATAGATCGGAATTCCCTTTGCATCAAAGTAAAGAGCACAGTATCAGCGAGCGCACCAATAAGGCCAACACTGGGAGAGGAAAGAAAAGAAACAAAAGAGCGACGCACTCAGAATCCTTGAAGTTGCTTTGACAGCAATTCGGCGAATAGAGACCTGCAGCCAGTTAGCATCCCTCCATCTTCTATTCTACCGATTGATCAGCTCCGAGAGGGCGTATATATAAGTACACTCGAGAGATAAATGCCCGCATCGCTGGCAGGGCACCTGGCCGTTGCACTTGATCTTGCGCCGCTTGCACTCGTTGCTTCAAGAGCCATCACCACCATCACCACCAGGTCAGCTATGTAGTCCGAATAGACAAGAGCACACCCGCACACACGCAGACCCGGCCATCCCGGGGAAGAGGCCGGCCGTAGGTACGTACCATGCTAGCGAGATGTATCTGTTCCTCTTCGTCCGCGTCTGCGTCCCCGTGTTGGGCTCTGCCTTGCGCTTCCCATCGTCCGTCGTCGTCGCCGTGGGCGTCTGGCCGTCGGTAGGAGACTTCGAGGTCATCGTTTGTCTTCCTGGTCCCTTGTTCCTCTTCGCTGCGTCTGCTCGCGTCGACAGGCTAACTAGGTCCGGCGCATCCCAGGATATGCCATGCAGAGCGTCTGCCTCTCTCCCTCACTGTCTGTCTGCCTCTGTGTTCGTGTGTATGTATGTATGTGTGTGTAAGTGTGTGCGGGTGGAAGAGAATGCATTCCGGGGTAACTTTCTAGTTAATATTGCAGCTAACTCGCCAGCAGACTTAAGCAGCAAAGGGGCAAAAAAGGTGCTAGGACAGGCGAAGTAGTGAACTCCCTTGCGCGAGGAGCGAGGGGCGTCCTTTAGTCGCTTGGCTAGAGCAAGCCGCCGGGCCAGTTGGTTAGTTGCGCTGCCAGAGCTGAACTGCCGCTGCTGCTTCCTGCGTCCTCCTGCGTCCTCCTGCGCGGACCCAAGCGGCCTTCTTTTGTCTTTGATGCGCGTTACGGAGTACGATCACCGGTTAATTAGTCAACGGGCATGCGGTTCTGTTCCTGAGTAGCCTGCCGGTTGCTGTTGTCGCTGTTGTCGCTGTTGTTGCTGTGTGGCTGTTATTTTCTTTTGCCGGCAATGAAGGCAGCTGCCCTTCGGTATCGTGCCCTCGATACCCTGGCCAGGGACAGCGTCGAGCTCTTCCGCGAGTCCTTCTTCAAGGCCCAGCGGCCGGTCGTCCTACCTCGAGGCCTCTTCCGAGACTACCGTGCAGCCTCCCGGTGGTTTGCTTCTCCTTCTTCGACACCCGGGCTTATCCTCAACCACGCCTACCTCGAGCAACACGGCGACTGCTACGTGCCATTGGAACTGACTATACCCGGCGAGCGGGATGGAAACATCTTTGAGCGGGCTCACCGGCCGTTGAGCCTGTTTCTTCAGTGGGCGCGGTCGGTACAGTCGATGCCGGCCGCGGAGCAGCCAGGTGTGCCGCGACTGTATCTCGCTCAATGCCAGCTGCTGGATCTGCCCAGCTCGCTTCGAGAGGATTTCCCAACTCCTTCGTATGTCATGCAGGCCGGCAAGGGCGACATCTACGATACAAACATATGGGTTGGGATGGCACCGACATATACTCCGCTGCACCGTGACCCGAACCCAAACCTTTTCGTGCAGTTAGCCGGTTCGAAACATGTCAGGTTGCTTGCTCCAGATATTGGACGTGGAGTGTTTGCGGAGGTCAGGCAAGCACTCGATTCGGCTCGGGCAGGCCATGGGCATAACAATTCTGCCATCAGAGGCGACGAAATGATGAAAGGTGCGGAGCGTCAACTCTTGGACCGCGCCGTCTGGGGAGTGGACGATGATAAACACAGGTCAGATACAACTCACGACAACACTGGATATGATGCCATTCTCCATCCAGGGGATGCTCTTTTCATTCCGACCGGATGGTGGCACAGTATCAAGGGTATTGGTCAGGGAATAACAGCTTCCGTGAGTATACCAGATACACACACCACAAACAAACACTAATACACCAATATCTAACATCCAACAGGTCAACTGGTGGTTCCGATGATGAGGACTAGCCAAAATAGAAGAAGAGAAGAGAAGCTCTCATTTCACTGTACGGTGAGGATAAGAATATGCCTTGTAAATCGGGTCTATTCGCTATACAAAATGCCGGCCCATAAGAATTGAGAGACGCCAATTTACCAAAACAAAAAAGGGGGGTATCTCCTTTTAAAATATGAAGTTCAAAATCTTCTCAAACAGGTTCCTACGAATTAAAAACGGTTAGCAAACTGTGTACTACACTGACACATAACTAAAACGCATCAAAAAGGGGAAGGAGTCTTACCCCGGAGGCGTGGGTACATAGTTCCGGGTGTACACCTCGATTTCCTCTACGCCATCAATCAAATCTACCTCTTCAGGCTTCAGAAACTTGGTGCGCTTGAACCACTTCCATCCCAAGAATATCAACGGACATACTACAATCATCGTGTAGGAGAAGAGGAAAGTTGGCAGGTTCCAGTTTCCTGGCAAGAATACCGGGTATCCGCCCACAAAGACCATGACAAACGGTCCAATAAAGGCATAATACGAAAGATACGGCTGGAACCGGCTCTTGAACGGCAGCGAGTCTCTCGAGATACCTTGCGCTTTCAGTGCCTTGTAGAACCGGATATATGTGAATGTTATGGCAGAGAAGTTGAGCAACTGCGATGCGGTGACGAGGTTGACGAACCACTGCAGCACAACAGAGGCACTATTTGAGACTTGCAAGAAGCTCAGCAGCGCAATGAGCAGTACAACGCCCACACAGTAGATGGGCACCCCATTCTTCGCGCAGCGGGTGAAGATTCGAGGTGCTTTACCTTCGAGAGCCAGACCGTAGAGACACCTGCTAGCACAGTAGACGTAGCTATTCCCAGCACTGAAAGCAGCGGATAAAACCATGGCGTTGACAATGTCTGGGAGGACACGAATCTGCAGCCTGTGCATGGAGATGACATATGGCGATGCAGTGGCACCCGGGAGATCCTTTAGGAAGGCATCCTTCATCGTCTTGTCGTCGTACGGCACATTGACACCAATCGCCAGGCTCCCAAGCATGAAGAAAGCAGTCAGTCTGTAGAACACAGCCTTGTAAGCCTTTGGCATCGACACCCTCGGGTTTTCGGCTTCACCCGCTGCCATGGAGACATAGTCGGGCCCTGCAATGGTAAAACTGGCGAGGATCAGGCACTGGAGGAATCCCAGCCACAGACCAAGGCTCCCTGTCGTGTAAGTAGTGGTAAATGCTCCGGGCTCCCTCCAATATCGGAACCCATATCGATCGCCTATGGGGTTTCCGCCAATCATGGTCACAAATGTGTAGCATAACACACCGACGATGAGTATGACTTTGCCCAGTGATAGCCAGAATTCGGACTCTCCGTACCATTGGACAGCAAAGACATTAAACGCTCTAATCCATCAGTTAGCAAGTTCTGCAGCTTAGCGGGGATCATGGACGCACGCATAGAGAACAATGATAATAGTTATTATGGCTGCAGCTGGCACGGCATCACTCCAGTAGTGGATGATGAAGTTACAAGCCACAATCTCGAACGGAACGAGGGCTGCCTCGAAGATAAAGAAGTTCCATCCAACAGCAACTCCAAAGGCCTCGTCAACAAAGCGGCCTGCAAATCTCACGAAGGGTGAAGATATAGGTAAATATGTTACCATTTCCGCGGTGCCTACAGAGCCCACGGATAGACAATTAGTTATTGATTTGCTGCATTGGCGCATTGGCGCTTGTTGGCAAAAGACGGTTGATATGTGATGCCGTCGACGGGTGTAATTGATAGAGAAGTCCGAGGGTTCTTACACATAGTAATGGCCAATATGAAGGTACACCTATTATCGTATAAGAGTCAAGCGTTTCCAAAAGAAAAAAACAGGTTAACGACAGGTAAATGCAACATCTGAGATGCTTTGGTGGACGTTGTTTTCGCCCATGAAAAGGACTACAAGCCTCTAGAGACATGTTCAACGAAGTAAGGATGTTCAAGTCTATAGGATCATAACTAGGTCCTTCCACGCATTGCTATCCACATCAAAGATGGCAGCCACTCCAAATATTGCGATTTAGGTATACACCTAGCATAGTAGAGAAACAGTATCTGTACCCAGAGGTATTTCGGGGTGTTTGAATGGGTATAAATATCACCAAAAACAGTAAACAGGCAGTGCTTCTTGTAAATAAACAGTAGAAATGACGTCGTCTAGGGGTGTGTATCTAGGGGTATACGGAGTACTGGAGTAACATACCACCAAGAAAATGCAATAAATAAACTTGCAGGTCCGCCATTAAGCAAACCCTTGCCGATTTGAACAAAAAGAGCAGTGCCGATGGTCCCTCCGATTCCTATCAATTGAATATGTCGAGGCTTGAGATTGCGGTGGGTGTGGTCAGTATTGATCTTTTCCGACTCTGGGACCTCTTCATCGACACTTTGCTGGTACGCGGGAGGTTCATGAAGAGCGCTCTCCCTTTTCTCCGACGGCACCTGTCGCCGGGATATAGCCCCCATAGCGTCTATACAAACTACAGATTATCTGCAGGAGGCTGAAGGTAAGAACAGAATGAAAATAAAGAAATTTAAGAGAAGAATCATAGAGAAATCCCAGCGGCACACAGGCGGAGCTTCATATATTAAACGACGCGAACAAAATAGAGTGAGAGAAGTCCATGGCCTGGTGGAAAATATCGCCGTGTACCCTTGCAGCCCAATCTCTTGGTAAGAATAAGAAGGTAGTTAAGTTAGAGATAACTTAACCCGTAACACCTCGGGAAAGAGCTGCGAAAAAGGTTGCATCCTCGGAGTAGGGGCGCATCAGCCCAGTCACTAAATGAAAAGAATCAAGGATTTTCCTCCCACGGTAAACAGAGCTTAACATGGGAAAAAAGGCTATTAATTTTGCCACCCTTAACTGAGTAGTTAGTTATTTGTGATGGCTAACTACCTTTGACCGAGCTTTTGCATGTGGTCGATGGACCCATAGAGCTTGAGGGCCCTAGTTTCGAAGAAAGGGTTTCAAGCACTTGACCTTGAGCGCTAAGAAGTGGTCGAAAAAGGCGTTTTTCATGATAGGACGAGACGGCAATAGTGGCCTCTAAATGTTGCTGGTTTGTTAATGGCAAAGGAGGCATTGGCTATTGGCATCACATTGCTGGCTGAACCTTAATGGCGACAAGGAATGAGACGAGAACAGCTCGCGAGATTTGATCCTGGAGAAGTTGACCGCATGAAAAGGCTGTGGTTTGGTCATTATCGAGCATTTGGTCATCGGACCGTTGTTTATTTAATCGGACTTCATGGATTGTAAATTGACGTCCGCCTTGTGATACCCCCAAGCCCGAGGTTCTTCCGCTTCAGGATGCACAATGCCTGGCGGCGTTTTTATCTAGATTAACGTATTAGCACATTAAAGATATGGTCCTTCCCACATCGTCACTGAAGTCTGGCAGCCCATAGTGAGCCTATACAAGCAGATATCAAATCGTGGCAGTGGTGAAATAGCAACAACCACCCTGACCTATAGCTCTCAGCACAGTTTTTGATCGCCGCAGACAGACAGTGCAATATTTCACCTAGACCAACCGCTCTATGCTATTCCCTAGCTATAGACGATCTATCGTAGTACTATAGTGGCGATGGATGCTGAGGATGATGATGATCGACAGGTAGTTAAAGCGATGGTGGTCAGAGAGTGACTGGTGGTGGTGGTTGTTGATAACGATGCGGGGCTTCTTCTGCTTCTGCCTCTGCCTCTCTTCTCCCCGCCAAATTTCAGCCTCGGAAGTTGACATCACCAAAATATCCAACAACGTCAACCACAGTTCTGACCATAAGACAACTTGCGATAGCCGTTAGAAAGAGGAAGAAGAAGGACAAGAGGAAGAGCAACAAGCACTGACATACTTACTAAACAACATGGCTGACCCAAAGAGTATCATGTCCCCCGTGGCCACGAACCTCAACCCACCAAAGAGCGACCCTATCTCGCTCGCAGATCTAGCAAAATCAGACGGTACGCCAGCCAGTTCTTCTTGAATACAGCTTGTTTATACCTATATACGTATATTGCAGTTCTTCTTGCTGATTTGTTCTTCGGTTTACACCACTAGGCTCTGATCCCAGCCGTCCTACTCTCGTTGCCATCAAGGGAGATGTCTTTGACGTCTCTGGAAACGCAGCATATGCTAAGGGAGGGAACTATAACGGTGAGCAGTGAATGGGATGCCGGTTAACTCCCAATACTCTGACAGTTAAATATAGTATTCGCCGGCAAGGATTCCTCCAGAGCCCTCGCAAAGTCCTCGCTGAAGCCAGAAGACTGCGTTCCTGAATGGAGTGACCTTGGAGATAAGGAGAAGGGGGTCCTAGAGGACTGGCACAAGTTCTTCAGCAAGAGATATAACATCGTGGGAAAGGTTGCGGGAGCAACTAACCTATAGGATCTACCTATATAACGAGCACTCCCTTTCGCTTCTTTCTTCTCTCAGTTCTATGAAATGCACATGACGGTATTAAATACTCTTTTTTCAACTGTATATCTATTCTAAATAAAGGACGGACCAGACATCCCTTTGCAAAGATAACCCTACCACTTTTTTTGGTTGATACGAATAAGACAGCGCTCTCATAACACTCGCTAAAATATCAGCAAACGTTCAGTATTCATTTCCTGTTCCTCCTTAGCATCCGCTTTCTGGCAATGATCCTATTCCGCTTAGCAATGTCATTGTCCTTCTCCGTGGATGGAGCCTTCTCTGTGGCCTTTTCAGCTTTCTCGCCAGGTTTTCCTGCTGATCCCTTGCCATTCTTCGACCCCTTGAGATAATTCTTAGGGCCATTGCCTGCCCTGGGTCTCTTGGTTTGCTTCTCATCCTTATGGTCCCGGCCACGCTTTGTGCCGCGTCTAGGGCCATCCTCCCCGTTATCCTCTGTAGCAGCTTTTCGAATATTCATTTCTCGTTCTCGCCTCCTGTTGACAACCTGTGCGTTTTCAAGGGCAAATTCAACGATGAGTCGCCTTTTTCTATCCGCCGGGTCAGCGTTGGGTGTAGACGCAGAAGCCTCAATCGCATGGCCATTCAACCATCTGAGTCCCATCAAACTACTTCTATGTGTAGCATACTCAATGAAGCCGTAGCCTCTGCTTCTGCCGGCACCAGCCTTTTCGTTCATCTTTGAGCCATCCTTGCCCTCAAAAACTACTTTCGCCTGCTTGACAATTCCCTTTTTCTGGGTCTTGCGCAGTTGCTCGGCCTCCTTCATCAAGGCGGCGCTTCGACGTGATTCTTCCCAGGATATTGGCTTACGAAGCCCGTTCTTGACATCCTTTGCAAAACCCACCACGGCTTCACGGGCAAGTGCCTTGAGAGCCTTGGAATCAATGTGTCGTGGCAAGTTGCGGACGGACAGTCGGGTAAGACTGACGTGCAGCATGGGATTGTTCTTGATGAGTTTTTGACGCTGTTTGGCGCTCGCTTCTCTCATTTTTCTCTCCGTCTCAGAGAGTTTGGCGTATATAGGGGAATTGGTCGGAATTGTTCCCTCTGAAAGCAGGAATAGTCGGCGTTTGTCATGGTCTCGAACTTCACGGCGCGTGTGCCCTTCCTCCTCCAGTCTACCAGCCTCTGTTCGACTCACTGCCTGGGAGACCTGCAAGACACGACCATCCATGGTATAATTCCCTGTAACATCATTACTCTCGTCTTCGAGAACAGAGTGTATTTGTTTGGTTGCAGCTTTTTGTCTGGGATCTTTATTTCGAGATGCATCCGTATCTCTAGGAGCTTCACGGATACATGATGAAGCATCTTCTACTTTGTAGAAGCAGACGAATGCCGTGCCCCTTGGCCGCTCTGTCGCTGGGTCAAGCACAACCCTGGCGTAGCGGACAGGGCCAAACTTGGAAAAGTGTTCGTGAAGAGACTCATCCGTAGCGGAGAAAGGTATATTTCGAATAAATATGGTTGATGCGTTTCGATCATCCTCTTTCTCTTCTTCTTCTTCCTCCTCCTCCTCCTCTGCTTCTAGGTCGTCATCGTCTGCATCGCCCATGGAGATATCTTCCTCCTCATCTTCATCTTCATTATCAAGTTCAACTCCTCCATCTTCTTCATCCTCACTAATAGCATCTGACTCTCCATTATCGACGACATCAAGATGCTCATTCTCGGCGACCTCTTCACTATCTCCACCCTCTTGATTTCTGTCGGACTCCTCTGCAGCTTTGTTCATATTGTCCCACTCATCTTTCTCAACCGCCCAGTCAACAGCCAAGGTCCGTCCATCAACCTCCTTGCCATTGACACCTTCAATCGCTCGTTCTGCATTTTTCCTCCCCCTCAGTACCACAAATCCAAACCCAGCAACCCTTGACCCCTTTTTTGGCACGACGGCATGTTTAATTTTCCCATAACTCCTAAACAACAGCTCTAAATGTTCCGGCTCGGTCATGCTCCATGGTAAATTTCGTATTATAAGCTTTGGGGGTAATGATTCCAGCCTTCGCTTCTCCTTGAGCTCCTTTGCTTTTGACGGCGCAGAAGAGGGCACGCTCTTCCCTTCCTTTTCATCAATCTCTCGATGGCGAGGTTCAGCAAGCTCGATCTTTATCTTCTTCCCTTCAAACACTGAGTTGTTCAATTCTTTTGCTGCGGATTGGGCATCTTCATGGTCTGTAAAGGTAACAAATCCGTAACCCTTGGGTTGCTTTGTCTGTGGATCGAGCACAACAGTGGCGTGCTTTAGCGGATAGGACTGCGAAAAGTACTCTGTCAACGATTCTGTTGTCGCCGTCGTAGGTAGAGATCGCACGAAGAGTGTTCTAGTTTTGCGCTCTTTGGCTGCGGCTTGGTCTGTGCTCGGAGCGGCCTTATCAGCGGCGGCATTGTCAGCTGGTGCATTTTCATCCATCTTGAGGCTTCTGCTGGCTGAAATTCTTCTTCTCTTATTGTTTTCAGCCATTGTCCGGTCGTCGAATTCGTTGTCCTTCGTCCTGATGCTTGGGAGTTGAAAACAAAAAGGAAGAAAAAAAAAACCGAAACTTTTTTTTAGGCTTTGCGGCCGGTGGAGCCGTCAAGCAGAAGCCGCATAAAAAAGAACGACGTCCAAACACGAAGGCAAGTCACAGAGTGCTATGAAGATATGAACACTGAGATATAGCAAAAGAAGGCGGTCATGGACGATGAGTATGGCGATATACAGGACTTCCAGGACATCCTTGCGACAAGTGAAGCGATAGATAAAGCAGCCTCTGGGCCGTCGAGACAACAGCAGCCAGAGCCAGAGCCAAAGGCAAAAATCCAGCAGCCCAAGCCGCAAGCTCTTCCAGCGCGGCGAGGGCCGTCGTCCATCCTGGTCTCGTCAAGGCAAAAGGGAAACCCGATACTGCATCATATACGGCTTACGCCATGGGAGTATGCAGATATACCCGCGGACTATCTTGTTGGGACGACGAGCTGCGCGCTCTTCCTGTCCCTCAAGTACCACCGCCTGCATCCCGAGTACATCTACACTCGAATCAAGGCTCTGGGAGGGAAGTTTAGGCTACGGATACTGCTTACGATGGTAGATATCCCGAACCACGAGGACAGCCTAAAGGAACTGTCCAAGACGTGTCTGATCAACAATCTAACCATCATCCTGTGCTGGTCTGCGCCCGAGGTGGCGCACTACCTGGAGCTGTTTAAGTCGAGTGAACACGCACAGCCAACTGCTATCAGGTCTCGCCAGGCGCAGTCGTACAAGGATAGCCTGGTTGAGTTTGTGACCGCCCCGCGGAGCATCAACAAGTCTGACGCGGCCAGTCTGATGTCTACCTTCGGGTCGCTGCGAGATGCCATCAATGCACAACCAGAGCAGATCAGTGCTGTTCCGGGGTGGGGGGAGAGGAAGGTCAAACAGTGGACGAGCGCGGTGCAGGAGGATTTCAGGACTGACAAGGCCCCTCGCAGCGCTCCAGGGGAGCCACAGCGTCAACGTCAGCCGCAGCCTCAGCCTGGCCAAAGTGACACTAGACAACATAGTACTGTAGAAGAGGGAGACGAGGCTGCCATGGAGGCCATGAGAGAGGCAGAGAGGAGCCAGCTTGCAGCTTCTACACGGCCAGGCGAGGCTTCCGAGGGCCTCAGCGACGGCATCCTCGCTGCCCTGTCCAAGTACCGAAATGAATAGACCCTTCTCTAACCTCTCTCTCCTACTCTACTCTCCTTCTACTTTCCTCTACTCTTACCTTCTGATATCTACTCTTCGTCTGTTTCTGCTTCTACTTTCGGCATCTACTTTGTATTAGTAATATCTTAACAATAATTTGCTTTAACGGGCTGTAGCACGTGACGTCAGTGGATCTTCCCCACCTTTTTCCACGTTTGGAACTTTCGATCTCGATCTTTTCTTCCCACTGAAGAAGCAAAAGTTGACGACGACGACGAACAAAAAAAGAGTGGGAGAGACGGACGAAGGCGAAGATATCGACTGGATACAAGGGAGAGGACAGCGAGCTGCCAACAGCGTACTGGAGACGCCTGGGACGGACGGGACTAGACGCCATCGACACACGACTCTTGGTTTGCTAGGATAGTTTACTATCGGGAACGGTGCAAGGGGCGATCTTCGGAGCCTGGTGGCGCCAGAGAGAGTCGGGGCCTTTTTCCCCTGAAGCTTCTCTTCGCTGGCTTTCTTTGCTGCTATCTTCCTCCTCCTGCCCGACTGACGCTCCACCATATAAGATGGCAGTATGGGGAAGTCCGCTGCAACTCTCGATGCAGGCTCGAACCCCAGCTCTTCTGCCAGCTCCCCGTCAAATCAAGCTGCCCCAGATGGACCGCGAAACTTTGAGTTCGTCCTGGTCACGGATTCCGAGTCCAGAAGACAGGTTCGACGCCATGCGATGCGCCAGTACGTCCACCAGCGGCGGCTCGACGGTATAGCACGGCTAGAGTCGACGCGCGTACAGGTCTCTGGCTGGTCAACAGGCAACAGCAAGGTACAGGGCGAGGCCAGAAGCGCCTCGCCCAAAGTGGAGGAACTGGACGACGAAAATAATGAACAAAAGGGACTCTGCCGGTCTCGTAGCCAGCAGATTCAGCGCAGGGCTAGCCAGAGAGCAGCGGTCACAGCTACAACGGCCGGCCAGAAACCTGCCAGGAATTCCCTGGGAGGCACCCCCGCGGCTAGATCTCCCGTTGTCGATCCAAAGACAGAGTCGCCCCTCGCTGCATTCGAGCCGTTTAACTGTCTTCCACTAGCGCTGAAGGATGCTGATAATAAATTAATTGACCACTGTGAGTTGAAATTATGGTACATATATACATATTTACAGCGTCTGGCTAACTGCTTCCTACTTGCATAGATGTGACGAAGTATCCCATGATGATGTATAAGATGGAAAACGCCCAGCAAGATAACCCCATCCGAGCTATCTTCCATAATATAGCACTCCATGACCCTGTCCCGTTTCAAGCCATGCTTGCCGTTGCCGCAAAACACAGGGCTGGCATGGAGGGGCAGGTGGAGACTGTACAATCCCTGACACACAAGATGCGCGCGTTGAAACTGATCAAGGAGCGGCTAAGGAATGATGATATTGACAAGGAAGATGGCACTTTGTACGCAGTCGCTAGCCTGACTGTTATCGAGGTACGCACTTCATTTGACGAATGCATTACGTTCAGATGCTAACCTACCATCAGAAATGGTCGAAAGATTCCGTCGTTGAACGCACTCATTTCCAGGGAATCAAGCAGTTGATTCGGCGGCGAGGAGGCATGCAAGCAATGAGGACGAGGAGTGCAACTGGCCCGTTCCTGGAAAAAGTTGTTTACTGGTATTTACACCACTCTTTATTTAATGGCAATTGGCTCCCAACACTGACTTTCCTTCAGGGTCGATTTTTGCTGTGCCTCCAACTCTATTGTGGGTGCCGGTCTTCCCTGGACTGGTGAAATACCTGATATACCCCCCAAGAATCTAAGTTTCGTACCTCCAGAGGTTATTCCTGTGATTCCTGCAGAGATTCCTACAAACGAAGACCCTGACGATATCCCTGACATTCTTCAAGCATGCGAGGATTTTCTTGCATTTTTCCGGTCTTTGGATGACTTGGAATGTGCATATTTATTCAGTCAGCCTCTGCCCCCTCTGAGGTTGGACCGGCTGAACAGTCCACAGAAGCCGTTTGACGAGACTTCTCCGCTTTATACTCTTCTAGCCAACCTGCCAGACTACGACCATGGTATTCGTGATGTTCGCTTCATTGACGAATACACATGCATGGCATGTTTATTTTATCTCAATTTTGCACTCCATGACTGCTATTTAAACCATAAAAACTTTGATGACTATCTGAATTGGGTGAACCGTGCCCTACGGGCAGTAAACCCACGTTCGAGTCCAAGCATCGCCACGCTTCTTTGGATATTTCTCAACAACGGTGGATTCCAATACGATGAGAAGTCTGATTCTGGGGAAAGGAACTGGCTAGTATCCAGGATGATGCGTATCGCGAAACGACTGGAATGGAAGCAGCACGGCAGTCTGTGGGACAAGTTACGTTCGACCTTGTTCCAGTTCTTGTTTACTCAAAGCCAATGCGGCCTCGGGCGGCCGTTTATCGACGAGGCAGAGCTTAATGCTCGTAAGGAAAGATTAAGCTGTGGCAGGCAGTTCATATGGGATGAAGACGAAATGAGGCAAAACATCCTCGGAGGCTTATACACTGGACCTCCAATCTTCGGACAGCCTCCTGTTCCTGTCACCATCTCCTATAATTATCCTCGTGGCTCGGTTATAGCCGACAGTACTGTTGGCATTTAGGAATCTCGCACCAACGTCTGCCTGCCTGCCTGCATACTAATTTCCAAAAAAAGAATTTGGTGTTAACCCGGAGTCTTGTTACATTTACCTCTGATGATTGGATACGGATATTTTGTCATATACTGTTATATATGGCTATTTCTTGGAATTCTTGGTTGTTTTCTGGGGTTTGGATAGAGAGCATGGATGTTTTTTTACTTTTATTTTCGTTAGGATAGATACCCTCTGTGAGTTGAAGACGTCGCACGTCTTGGGTTTATTTTCTTGTGAAAAAAAAAATATGTACGGCGATGGCCTTTACGGAATGACTACTTTCTGGGATATTATATGATCATGGCTTGCAATGTCAGTTACCAATCTATCAAATTCGGTGCTGTTTCCTTTTCCCTCTAGGTTTGATTAACGTTACTTTGTTGTACCTTTTGGTAGTTGCACTTCCATGGATCCCAAGATTCCACGTGATTGCCGTCTCGCCCCCGGGACTCGCAAGTATACGAGCTTTTGCCGTCCAAGAGGCTTGGAAAATAGGCAGCAAGCACAGCTAGGATAGTGCATAAAGACCAAAATCCTCTTGCGGTGGAGAAACGAAAACGTCACGGACAAACAAAGAAAGGAGGGAAAAAAAAAACAATGGTACAGGTTTGGATTTCATATTTAAACCGCTGTCAAGAAGTTAGTGACACTTGATTCCAAGATCAACGACGATAGCTATGGACACGGCCGAATCAAGGGATAGCGATGGCCCAGCAGCCAGTCAGAGGAGCCTGGCATTGCAGAGAGCGGTATAAATACCCCTAATATCTAGACCCCTAGGTTTGTTGACTTGTTCAGCTAACCATGGCATATATGAATCGCTGTTCGCTCCCCAGTGTGATAACTGTCGCCTCCGAAAGGTAAGTCGAGATCTACCTCAGGCAAGCAGTCAGTAAGTTGTACTAACGGTCTATATTAGATAAAATGTGATAGGACTTCGCCATGCTCCAATTGTCGAATTGGAAAAACAATATGTCGAACAACCCCTCGGGTGAAGGAGCAGCGCCAACGAGTGCTGATTTCGCATCAATAGTATGCCAATTACCCACCCCTCTTTATTAGTTCTGCCTCTGGCCTGGGAATCTTTTATCATGGAGGACCTATTCTAAATTCCTGGACAGTGAAAAGAAGATCGAGACTATCGATGAGCGTTTGTCGACTATAGAGCGTTTGTTACAGGACCTTACTCTATCGTTGCCCGCGGCCGCAACTGCACAGTCAACCCCTAGAATACCACAACCACCTTCATCAAGGCATAATGATGGCTCAAATGTACCTGTGATCATACAAAACTCGGAAGAGACTGAGACGAAACGCACCCCAGAGTTTGAAGGCGAGTCATCATTTAGTGCTCACTCAGTGCATGCTGGTGCTCTCTTCGAGAGTGCTATGAAAAGAATACCCTTTGCACAAGTGCCGATGATGTCCCATGCTTTATCTGCACTGCAGGATATAATAAAACGTCAATCACTGCCGTCGTCTGTGAATGTTTTACGATTCCCTGGCCAACCGCCTAAAAAGAGAATAAATTTCTCTGAGTTGGAACTGCCCCCTTCAAGCGCCGTTTTGGCTCTTCTCAGGCTTGCGAATGGTATGTTAGCTTTTATATTCTTCATCATTCCAGCTTTTGGTGTTGGTATACTAACTCGAAAAACATGAGCTTAGAAAACCCGCCTCTTTTCTTCCTCACGCTACCGGTGATGAACATAACACGTTTTACACAAATGTGTAAAGATCTCTATTTTTGCACAGAAGAATACTCGTCTGGAAGATTTGCTTCTGTCAACTCCATTTTGGGGCATCTATTCAAGGAGATTTCATTCCGGTTTAAAGATGACCCAGCTACCGCCAAGTTCAACGAATACAGTGAGCTCTGTATGTCGAATTTTACAGTAGTGATTAGTTCTTTTGATATGTTTACAGAGCCAAGTTTGGATAACTTGATGGCCTTGACATACGCTGTATGTTTGACACTCCTCGCCCTGGACCGAAACCCCATTTCATACTAAAATCTCAAATACGTTTCCAGGTCCTTCATGCAACCGAAGCTGCGAAAATATCTCTATGCTGGAACTTCGTGGCGAATGCCGCTCGTATGGCTCAGAGCCTTGGATACCACCGCTCTGTTGCATCTAAGGATGACACGCCTGATGATGCTACCGTGAAAGTTTTTCTATTCTGGTTCATATACTCAATGGATCGAAGTTTATCCCTGTGTC